AATGAGATAAAAAGATTGGCTGTAGTAGCTTCCGTGGATAGGGAATATTCATGTGGTCAATTGGAAAAAAGATCTATTTACTGTGCTTTTTCAATCTTTTAAGAGCAGCACAGACAACCTAAGTAAGTTTTCTTGTTTAATATTTCTTTTAATTTGTGTCTCAAAATTTCTGCTCAATTATTTTGGTACATCATCATCTATGATTGCCTATACAATGTAAAAGAACACTGAATGAATGGTGGAGTCACATGCAAGTTTAGATAAAAAAAAATTTAGCAACTTCCAATATGGCTAGCAGGGGAATGAGAAATGGGAAGTTGTTTTAAAAAATCAGGCAAACAAAAAACAGAAGCAGTCCTCTCACCAATAGTTTGGAGATGGGAATTGTCACCCTTCCTGTTCGTGACTTTTAATCAGTGAGAATCTGAGACAGACTGTTCTAAAAATATTTCAGTATCGATGCTTAGGTTTTAATACCTTTGGAACTATTGTTATATAAATACATCTTTATTATTATTCAGTGGAGCAACGCAAATCACTCAGACTTTATCGATACTGCGGGATCCATGTTCCGATCTGCTGTTTCTCTCCTCATGCCATCAGGGACAGCAACCCGCCAGCTGCCCCCAAGTGTGGCAAAAGTGGATCCAAGAAGCCGAGCTGTGTTTCCTCTTGGACTTGGGCATGCAACAGAATATGTCCAACACCGTGTCGCACTCATTGGGTAAGTTCACATTGAAGAATTGTAGTGCTGTGATAAACTTTTGGGAAGTTGTCAATTTGTTCTTGAATAGGAAGTTTTGCATGTTATATAATGAAAGCAAGCATTTTCTTGTGTCTTAGAGATGGAGTTGCTTGAGGGTATTTGAAGAATTTCTCTTAATTGGGAAGGAGGGATTGCTAAATTGTGCCTGAAAGAAAGATGAGTTTAATCTAGAGATGGATTATTCTTTGTGACAGCATCAAGTGTCATTATCTTTTCCTTTTAGGGATGCTGCTCATAGAGTACATCCTCTAGCAGGTCAAGGTGTAAATATGGGCTTTGGTGATATTGCATGCTTGACACATCATCTCAGTGCTGCAGCATTCAGTGGAAAGGATCTGGGTAAGGATTTAAAACTATTAAGCAATTTCTGGCAATATGACTGGCCTCTTCTAACAGCTCTGTTTTACTAGCTTCTTAATGGTAGGATCATGCCAAATTGCTTGTTTCTAATTTAAGCAATAGCAGTATTGATACTGTTCTGAGAGCCAGTGTAGCATAATGGTTAAAAGGGCTGGACTGGGACTCCAGGGATCTGGGTTCTCATTTCCATTCAGCCATGAACCTCTTTGGATGACTTTAGGTCGGTCACTCACTCTCAACCTAACTTACCTCATGGATTTATTGTTGTTGTGGAGATAAACTGGAGAGGAAAATCTTGTAAGCTGTCTTGGGTTCCATGCAAGAGGAAGAAAGACAAAGTAGAAATGTAATAATAATCTGTAGTTTTTGCCCTTCTGTAGAAGGATCACTTTTCTCTGTAAAGAAGAAATCCACATCATCAGATTGATGGACTGACTGACTAAGAAAGGAACTAGAAAAGGCAAAGGTGCAATATGGCCCTCTCTGTCCTTAGTAACACCATCAAGCTTGTTTTTAAAAAGTTACTAATTTGAGATACTCTAGAAGGAATCCAGAGTGTTCTAACCATACAATTTTTCTGCTAAGTCAGTCACATTGATGATACTGTTTGCTTGCTGTGATTGACATAGAATCTCAGTAGACCGAATAGGTGATGATAACCATATATAGAAAGTCAGTGTGACATCATGATTAGAGGGTCAAACTGGGATTTGGAGATGCAGGTGCTAGTCCACACTTGGTCATGAAGCTCACTGGGTGAATTTGGTTCATTTGTTGACTCTCCAGATTGAGCTCATAGAGTTGTTGTGAGACTATAATGGAGAGGAAGAGGATTATGTAAATTTCAGAGTTTCTTGATGGAAAAAGGTAGTGTATAAATATAATAAATACAAAAATAATACACCACCCGAGTGGCAAATGTTGAAGAAGTGTCATTCCTGCCCATCACCAACTTGGTTTTTTTTCATAGATTATCATTATACTGTATTTATATCCCTTCTTTTCCTTTTGCAAGGAACCTAAAGCAGCTTACATAATCTTTCTCCACATCATATTGATAATCACAACAACGACCCTCTGAGGTAGGTTAGGTTGAGAGTGAGTGACTGGCCTAGAGTCCTCAGTCAGTTTTCTGGCTGAGTTGGGACTAGAATTCAGATCTCCCCAGCCCAATATTCTAACCACCATACCATACTGGCCTACAATGGTCAATAGTAGGAGTGGTATATCCATGGCATAATGTCCAGTGTATGATAAAATGTACATAAAAAGTATATTAACTTTCCTAGGATGAAATTCTTAATCTGCTTTATCAGCTGTGCTAATGTACCGGGCAGAATAGTTTTGTAGGTCAGATTACTGGTTTTACTTTCAACAGGCCTTACCTTGGAGTAGCTCAACCACTAATTGAACCTTTGGAACAATCTCCTTCCTAGGCTCTTTAAAGCATCTGCTGCAGTATGAAAGAGAACGACAGAGTCACAACCTTTCTCTCCTGGCTGCAACTGACTTGTTGAAGAGACTGTACTCTACAAGTCTAGCTCCTTTAGTGCTGCTAAGAACATGGGGAGTGCAAGCAACTAATGCTTTATCTCCAGTTAAAGTAAGATCTCGCTGTTTTTAAAAGTCGCAAGGGGCAGGGATCCTATTTTAAAATAACCTATATTAATGTTTTATATCCCACACACTTCTCTGTCTGGTAGACTCAAGCTGGATAGCAGTTCAGATACATTTTATACATAGAACAAGTTACTTTTACTTTGGCTGCAGTAGGAGGAATGATTCTCTTAAAGCAGGGATGAAGCAGGCCAGGCAAACATATTGAGCCCTCTGAGGTTTACAATCCAGCCCTCTGGGATTCTCCCAAAGACCACCCCCATTCCCCCCAGCCACCTATTGTTTGGTGGTCTTCTGGCTTTTGTGACACATTTTTCCCATTCTAAACGGTTGAAATGCCTCTCCTATTAGTTACTTGGCACTAAGAGCTTAATACATTGTTTTTTGGCCTTGTATCTTTTGCCTTTAGCTTCACCCACCTCTGGAATGAATGCAGGATCCCCAAAGAATGTTTTCAAAATGAGATTTGGTCCTTTGGATGAACATGGTTCTGCATTATTACCACACAGTTGTCATGCTCTGACCTTTAAACCCAGTTAAACAAGAATGATTGTAGAGCTACTGTAACTTGCATATTGATTTCAATTCTGTACTGCCCCATAGCCCAGAGGCTCTCTGGGTGGTTTACAAAGTTAAGAAGCATATGAGCAAGCAATAAAATAACCATATTTCAATAAAACAATAAACCAATACAACAGCATCATCAACAACAACCCACAGCAACTATAATCATGTTGGCATGTGGCACAGTAGCAATAATGATAACATTAATATTAAAAGTAACAAATAGTTATTAAAATATCTGGAAAATAAAAGGGTTTTCACCTGACGCCAAAAAAGAGAGATGGTGCTAGGCACGCCTCTTTGGAGAGCATGTTCCAAAGAACATCTTTGGAATATGAAAAAGCCCTTCTGGTCACCACCTTCCTTCTCTGGGGGGCCTTCCCTGAGAAGGACCTTAAAGGATGATCTTAGGGCCTGGGTAGGAACATATGGAACATGTTCTTTCAATATGCGTTGCAGTGTGCCCAAAATGGTTCTGACATTTGGAAAAAAGGTAGTTTAGAGTTACTGGAGCTAAGGATCTGGCCCTTCCCCTCTTTCAGATGCCCAGTTGGAGTTGTAAAGAATGTTTTTTTCTATCTGATAGATGATTTCTCACCCTACCCTGCTGATCAGCATGTAAAACCACTGTTTGTTCTGCTGGGGTGGACTCCTGCCAGTTTAGAAAGTAGATCTCTTCTACTGTATGTAGCACAATCAGCCCTGTTCTTCAGATAGCTTTGCTAAGGAAGCAGTACTAACCAGTTAAGAAACAGCTGCATTTTCAACTCCTGATCTCTTTGAGTAAGGAAAAGCAGCCACTGTGGCAGTCTTGCCTTTCTGGTTTCAAGAGGTACCAAATGGCTAAGCAAGAAGCATTGTCATAGCATGTTTGTGGAAGGTTGCCCTGAAGGTTGCCCTGAAGGCTTGTGGGCAGAGTACACGCTTTGCATGCAGAAGGTTCCAGGTTCAATCCCCAATATCTCCAGTTAGGGATGGAAAAATTCTTGCCTCAAGTCCAGGAGAGTTATTGCCCATCAGTATTGATGATACTGGGCTAGTGGATCATTGGTCTGATCAACTTAAGGCAAATTCCTGCTGGCCAAGGAGGAAGTAATCTGTCAAAGTCCTCTGTCTGGAAGGCTGAAGTTTTCCAGTCTAAGTTGTAAGTGGAATGGGTGGCACAAAGGTTTGAAGACAGACTTTCCTTAGCCAATCTGTTCATAGGCTGAAGTGTGTAATCGAAAATAGCTACTCTACCAGCATGAAGCTTAATAAATGAGGAATTTTGACCAAGTCATGTACCTTGGTTAAGAATATCAAGTTAACCCTGGACACGCAAGAATAATGTCTGAACACTCCCTGATTTTAGATCCCTGCTCAGTTTTACTCTTGATTTGAAACCCAAGATTTAAATTTTATACTTTTTGCTTATAAGCAAATTTTCTTTATAGATGTTCCCAGTGATGATTGCAACATTCCAGTAGAATTATATGTCAGTCTTTAATTGAAAGGACAGATGCAAATCCAGCAAGGAGTATGCATGTTCACAGTGCAATATGTAATCCTAGCACATTTCTTAAATAAAATACATGCAAGTATTTCACTAAAATACCATTGAGCACTGCATTAAAATTAATAGCTTCTATTAATCAGTGACATAATATTGCACCAAGCATAAACTCCCCAAATAAACTTACAAGCCCCATGACTATGTTTGCAAATTAATAATGGGTTGGATTCTGATTTTAGGCATGTGCAACTGCACTGGCAGAAGCAGACTTTCCCATTCTTCCTTTTCATGGCTGGCTGTACAGCCCCCTAACATTCCTTCACAGGAGGTTAGGAACCCTGCTGAATGGGGTGAGCTGTAGAGCTGGAGGGAGGAGGGATTCCTGAAAATTGGGTGAAGGCACTTTCCATCAGCAGAGTCCTTCCATCCACAGAAGGCAGATGCAGAGCCCAGCATACTTTATAGGGCAAGTTATGAGACCTAAGTATAATCATGGTCACACACCTATTTTATAGATGAAGTTAATTTGGAATCTTGAATATGTTTCTGTTCACAGCATAAATTCTGTGAAATTCCTGCCATAGTTGTGAAAACTTTCCTTCACAGTGCAGTTAAGAGCAGTATTGGAGCACTTTGATAGTTCTATGCAGGTCTCTTTACAGGTACACTGTCAATTGATAGCACTTTTCCTGAGCTTGACCAAGATTTCTCCACTTTGGTTGCTACTGAGTACCACATTTCCTTGTTCAGTCCGCAGGATTTGGTACCGGTGCTTGCTGATCTTGTTCTGTTTAAGAGACTTCCATGTAGTTGGAGTATTCTGCGGGGATTATGTTTTTTTAAAAATATATACTTTTCCTCATTAATTTCGCACAATCCAGTATTCCTTTCATACAGAAGTACTTCAGATGTTCCACGTAGCACCATGGCATGTCAGGAAAATGTGCCAGTGAAAGTATGTTCCAAGCACCCCAACCTAGTTTCTTGCTTTCTCAGTAGATTCCATGCAGTGAGTGTGGGCCCATAATGCTTGATAGCTACCTGTGCTCAAAGAATCTGGTAGATGTGAAGGTATGCCATTCAGGACATTACCTGGAGGTTTTGGTGGCCCGTAGCTTGTTGTGTTCTGCACACTTCCACTCCTGCATTCATTTCTGCCTATTTGAGCATTTGTGTGAGGATTCTGTGCTTGACCATGTTTTCTGCCCCAGTGATGTATTGGCCTCATAAAAGCCTATCTCCGAAAAGCTTGACTATATGACTTGGACTAGGGCCTAAGTGTTGCCTAGAGTGCACACGCTCAGCCTGGCATTCATTTTTGAGTACTTCTAGTATTACTGGCATGGTCCCATATGCATGACTGTCTTGAGCATAAGCAAAACAGAGTAATGAATGCAATGGTATGCTGCTCATAAGAGGATACTCCTCTTGTGGTTTAGATGAATGATTTACGGTGACCTAAATCTTATTGTGGGCGTACATCTCCAGTTGTGTATTCATTTCAATATGCTTTGGGTACGAGTGTGATGGGTGAATCATGGCTAATCATAGCTTGTCTATGGCTAATAATAGAGTCATTGCTAACCCAGAAAATCATTAGGTTAGATGACCTTTAGTGCTAACCTTTAGTTTCCACAACAATATAGACTATTGTTGGAATGGGTCTAGTAAACCTTAGCAGTATCTTTCACCCAAGCAAAGTATTGAACTGGAATCAATAGTATGCTAGCTTATAGAGGACACTTCCTTTGAAGTTTAGGTGATCATAAAAGGTACTCTGGGACTTCTATTTCTGCCACCACACTCTTGCTAATGCTACCCTGGATTACTGCACTTGACTGCTGTGGCAAAGTTGACCTTTAGTAAGATTTATATAAATTGGCTACATCAAAATAATGTGATTGCTGCAGTTCCACCACCTATTTTTCATCTCAGTTTTTAGCAAAGTCTGCACCTCCTATGTTCTGTGTTACTCATCATGTATGGTAAGAAAGTTTGCCCTTGTAGATTTAAGGACAGAATACTACATTCAGTGTTTCACTGCTTCCTGTAAGGTGTTGCATACTGGAATCCATTAAAAAGGATTAATATGGGGCAATGTATAAATGTGCTACGTTTCATATTTATAATCCCTAAAGTGCACGGTTTTAGGTTTTACCTCTCAATGCTGGAGAAGACTATTCATTTAAGAAATGATTGTTTCCATTTTCTCCTGGACTTGGCAGGAGTTATGAATTATTTGCCTGCTTTTGAAATATCTACAGAGAAATCCTAAACTCCTGAGAGAGTGGCTCCTGGCAACTGACCTTCCTTTGTATCCACGGAAAGCTTTGTTGCCATGACTGCTCTGTCAACAATGCGGCCAAAAAAGGGTGGGTCAGGGATTAGTGTCTGTCCAAACAGAATGTTAACTACACCAACCCTGGAGGTAGTGTAGGTAATCCCTCCTCATCTGTGCTGTCCGGGAAAATGACAGCACCCAAACTCCCACCCTGGCTACAGTAAGCTAGATAAACAGAACAAGTGGCATTTTCTGTAACATGATTTCCCCTCCCTGCTGCATTTTCACGGGTTTCTTCTACCTGCTGCAATCCTCTATGACTGAAAGTCCCATTGAATACATTGCTGCTACTTTCTCCATCAACTACTTAAGTAAAAAGCAAATGAAATCTTGTTTTTGCATTCTTATATCGGGTGGCCAGACTTGCTATGGAGCCACATATGGTAAATGTCAGATGTTTGAGAGTCACAAGTGGGTGGCCACAGACAATGGTAGCGGACTGTTAGCGGCAAGTGGGTGCCCATGGGTGCCCGTGGCAGTGAGCCGCAAGCATGAACAGCAAAAGAAGAGCCTAACCCCTGCCATATGTCATAGCTGAGCTAACTAATTTCTCAGTAAAGGACCTTGTTTTTTAGAGCGTCTCTATTTCCTATCACCTGAAGGAGATGGTGATCAGTGGGGTGGAAGAGAGAGACCTTCACCAGGAACAGAAGTAATCTGTATTATTTCTCCCATCCTTTAGGAGCAGATCATGGCATTTGCCAGTAAATGACTTCTTCACAAATCAAGAGTTGCTGTTCACTGCTGGTTGATGTAGATTCACACAGTAGAAAGACTGTATTACATTTGCCAAGGTATATAAATGGGAAAAGAAACTGAAATGTAAGATGTGTATGTCTGTTTATTCTGGCTGAGGTTCTTTCTTTTTTTCAGTGGTTGGTTTTCTCCTAAACACCCAGAATTATTCAGTCTTGCCCAGTACTGGACTTTTGGCCTAGTGAAGAGATTTGTTGGAAAGATTTTACCCTTGGCCACAATAAAGAATCATTCTTGGTTCACCAAACATTTTCTGCTGTTTTAGGCAGGACAGATTCTGAGCTAGAAGCTTAGTGAACTACTATACGGCTTTTTCCAAGTCTTCATTTTCAGTCCTACCCTCTTAAGACAGGTTATGTCAAGTGGCTGCAAAAAGAGGAGAGAAATGCTGCTTGTTTGCTCTATATTAAGGTTATATTAATTTACCTCTAAGGATAGAGTAACAAGAGTGAGGATCAATTACAGACTGGAGTTCAAAAACACTGTTAAAATATTATTTTAATTATTAAAATAGACATTCAAAGGTGCACCATTATATTCATGTACTAAGCAGCTGGGATTGACAATGTCCATCTAACTGCATTACAGCACCAAGTAACATGAACAGAGCTAATGAATAAGGGTATCTATACTGCCCTAACTAATTTCAGAAAGAAATGTGAATGCGTATCTGAAAAAGTATTCAAAGTTTTATCAGTACAGAGCCTGTATTCACAGTGTTGCATATTTAGACATTTCAGAGGAAGGGCTCAGTCTGCATAAGTGTCTTTTAAACCTACTGTACCAGCATTGACTATACTTTACAACAAACCTCCCAGTCTGGTGCCGTCCAGCTGTTTTAGAGCTAAACTTCCAGGATTTCCGGCCTGATCCCCTCGGGCTGATGTGAGTTGTTCAAAATATCTGGAAGGTATTGGATTAGGGAAGGCTACACGAGACTATATACACACCTAACATCAGGTTTTGCTTCTGATTCTTGTTACAAAAATAATTTAATTTTGGTCAGTTAAATGTTCACTTCCAAATAAATAGACCTTTTTCAGTTCTGTGCAGATAATCAAACTTGTGAATAATCTCCTTGCACTAGGAAAAGAATAAACATTTTAAAGGAAGCAAGTTAATGTCATATAATCTCTAGGATCATCTGAGGGGGAAAACTAGATGTCAGTCTTGTGTTCCTTATACAAACAAACTCCACTGGCTTAAAATTTGTTTGAATAAAGAGTATAGAGGTGGTCTCTCAATCAACAGCATAAGTTACTCAGCTATAAACACATGATACCTAAAGGGATAAAAGGCTGTGAATGTGCCAAACATAGATTAACTTTGGTACAAGAAAAGCAATGCTGAAAAATTTAAATTTATGCCTGAGTTTACAAAGAGGTTGCAGTAGATGAGTCCCTGCTGAGTTTACTAAACAGTATTGTTCTTGTTTGGAACAACTATTTTATGCCTATTTTTGGCCATCCTCTTTACCACCCAAAAGACAAGAAAGCAAGTAGTGAGAGTAACTGAGCTCTGTCTTGCAAATTCAGGGGTACAAAGATGAGCTGATAATCATTGCAATACCAATCTATAAAAGAAAGGAATAACATAGAGTAGCTCCTTCTGAACCAAAACTTCTGCCATAGCTATCTTAGCACATATTAAAAAGGTGAAGTAATGGCTTATTACAGGGCAAAATGTATATACACTAAACAAGGTTGCCAGCCTATATGCACTTACTTGGGAGTAAGGCTGTCTGACCTTGTAGGATTTACTTCAGAGTAAGCATGTACAGGATTGTACTGTAGTATGCAAACACTACCAATATAGCTTTTAGTATTCATTATGAGAGCATTTGGCCAAAAATGTTGATAAATATATATACCTGTAGGCAGCATATCTTAAAATTTTTGTTCAAGTGTTCTTTAGGAGAAGTTACTACCACTAATGTAACTTGAGGAGATTTCCTGCTCTACACAATATTAAAGGTATTGCAGTAAGTAATGCACCTACTTGAGCACCCGTAGCTTTCCACTCGAGTCTGGTTAAGTGCACCACTTTCCAAGTAAGTACAAATTTTTTGGAGAGGTGGTGGTAGACTCAAGTAAGAGGATCTTCATTTTCAAGTGGGAATATTTACAATCAGGCATTTGGATACCTTGTACCAAGAGGTTCTCTAAAACTGCACTGAGGAATAGTATTTCTGCAGCTCTTGGTCCTCAGCAAATGTTTTGGGCTTCTAAGGTATCCAGCAAATTCTTACGGACAAGGCTTTGTTCTTTTAGCTTCAGAGATGTGAAGAGTCAACACATTAAACAGTATCTCACAGTGTTTCTAAGGTCATCCGTCCACTGCTACTTCTAGCCAGGTGGTTATCTATGGAGGCTGAAAAGTTACTCTTTCCACTGACTATCTCTTCTATAGCTCAACAATTAGCATCTTTTTCTTTAAGAACCAGCTGGCCCCTGCCCAGTTTCATTGTAATATGTGGGGTTAAATACAAGTACCAGAAACTAATCAATAACTTAAACACTTCACTGCTTGAGTTTCAAAATAGCCTATAGAAAAGGTCAATAGGGCACAATGCATAAGGCTAAACTTCTATTTTATATTTGAACAATCTAAGTTTCAGGCACAAGATGACCTGTGAAAAAAGCGTGGAGCATGACTGGGATGTATTGGTGCCAAATATCTATCAATACCTTGGCCAAAGAAGTGCTTGACCCCCTTATGCATGATTGGTTTCAAGGCCCTTTGGCATCAGTTAGGCAATTGTGTCATATCACTTATTATCCTAGAGGGACCCATATTGTGGCAGCTCAGATCTGCTCATTCTTAAGGGTAACTGATTCTTCTACTTTGGCTTGTGTTTGGCTAAACACTCATCAAAGCTGTATTTTCTTGTTTCAAGAAAAGTGAATATCTTGTAAGCACTGCCTTTTTAGTGGGAAAGTCCTAGGGACTGCAGAAGGTGAAATGTAGCACCCAGGGCCCAGCTTGTTTCTATGTTGTTCACCTTCTTTGCCAGCTGTAAAAGAAGGACAGGAAAAAATCAGTTCCTCTTGTATATTAAAGTGTATCATTTTAGACTGAATACATTTTTCCAGACTAAATCCAGATGACTATGATAGGACTATTTCCAGTCGTACTTGCAGAGCAGCTGCTACTGGACTCTTCTCTACCTTTGGGTGACATTATCGCAGCAGCAGTTCAGACTGGGAGAATGTTAACTACTGAAATCAGTGGCTATTGAATATTAAAAATGACTGCCTACTACTGAGAAAAAAAGTCTTACGTCCCAAGATCCAAGTTTGCTAATTTGAGTTGTATTTGACTTGAAGAAAAACAAAGACAGAGTACATTGAGCCTATTTATCTACCTTAACTGCCAGCAGCAGCATTTTGTTTATCGCTAAAATAAGTAAAATGTGGACTTTACCACCCTGCCCCATTTCATCATAATATGTGCGATTAAGTATAAGTACCAGAAACGAATCAATGAAGTGCAAACACTCACTTTATCTAAGGGTGTTTCCAGCCATTTCACTTGCCTGTAAAATTGTGCTGTCTCCAAATCCAAATCCTTCTTTTAGTAAGGCTGTAATGTAGCTGAGATCCATACACAAAAATGGGCTAGCAGTGCTGTAGTTGTCCAGATTGTCACACACTAGAGAACAGTTAAGAATATTCATTAATATTAGAAGAGCTGTCAGAAAATGCACATAGCCAGTTTTACTATGTACATTTGTCTAGCTACTACCTAAAATGTACAGTAGGCTCATATGCATGCTTCTTCCAGCAACTCTTGGGCAGGAACGGGACCTCAAATGCTAGTTCAGAGGCACCCTAATGTCAGGGGAAATGTAACCATGAACAGGATTTTGGTGAGGGAACCATTATCCCCCTGCCTGTTTCAAATCCCTTAGGAATGATTAATGACTGGGTTTTATATGAGAGTACCTGAGTAGAATACTTTCCAAAGAAGGGCCAGATCCAGAAGCCTAGTTTTGGAACAATCCCCATTGGCATATACATGTGAATACATTTTGCTGGTGTATATAGCCCATGCAACTGGTTAAAATCTGATTTTGTGAAGTAGAGCCTGAATTCTTATGTTCTCAATCCTTTAAATTTGTTGATAGCCCATCTTAAATCTTTTCATCACAGCATAATTATTCAAGGAGCTCCTTTATTCAGTAAATGGCTGTCTAGTGAAAATGCAAGGAATGGGGGAGCAAAGATCACCCCTTGCCATGCTGCCTTCTCCACAATGGAGGATCATCAGCTTCTGAATTCAGAGGCTGGTGATCATCCAGTGACTAAAATCTGATGACACAGATCAGAACACTCATCTGAAAACACAAGTTAACATAGAGTGCTGCTTCAAATTGGTGGTAAATTAACTGGAAAGACCCTACCTCAAATCTGTAAAAGCATTTTACCTTCTTTGGCTTTTCTTTTGAAGTCTCTCACTTGCAAAACTCCACCTTTTTCATAATCTGAAATGACAAAAGTAAAGGTCATCCTGTGATCAAGAAAAGATTTCTGTAAAAGACATAAAGCTGAGGCAAGTAGACAAATAATGCAAGTTATATTGGACTTCCAAATCAGTTAAATTATGAAGAGGGAACAGCTTTTAAGTTTGCAAACTGAAGTGTGGGAAAGAGTTAGATATAGAAGTTTCTTACAGTTGTGGTTTCACATGTTCTTCCCTTATATAATCTTTGCCCCTTCAACTTGTTTATACGGGAAGTTCTGCATGTCTGCTTGTAGAGCTCCAGTGCACTGCAGAAGATTCTGAGGCATCTTTTAGTGCATAGATTCGGTTGACATGGAAAATTGTGGCCCTTGGCTAACTTTACCCATAGGTTGAGGACCTTTCATATGAAAATGGGACACACACCATACACCATAGATTACACCCAACACTCATTGCAATGCTTAGCTACAGGGAAATTTGTTAACAGTAACTGAGTTATTTTTCAGTGATGTGTGTCCACCATTATTTCTTTTTTCACTGGAGAACCCATAAAAAGCTTATCAGAAATTCCAGGATTCTCCGACACAATGTGAAAACCATGATCCTTGAGCAGGAGTGGGAGAAGATTTTCAGTCTAAAAGCTGAATTCCAGTCTAGGAAAAGTCTTGGAAGAGCTAAATTCCATCTGTGAGTGGGGCCAAATGAGCTTCTTACCAATTCTAATCTCACTCAGAACGGAATAGGAGAAGCCTCAGCTTATCTTACTCGTGAATTTTGTTGTTAGTCACGAAGTCGTGTCCAACCCATTGCGACCCCATGAACAACATTCCTCCAGGCCTTCCTCTCCTCCACCATCCCCCGGAGTCCACTTAAGCTCACGCTGACTGCTTCAGTGACTCCATCTAGCCACCTCATTCTCTGCCATCCCCTTCTTCTTTTGCCTTCAATTGTTCCCAGCATTAGGCTCTTCTCCAGTGAGTCCTTCCTTCCCATTAGGTGGCCAAAGTATTTGAGTTTCATCTTCAGTATCTGGTCTTCTAAAGAGCAGTCAGGGTTGATCTCCTCCAGGACTGACTGGTTTGATCGCCTTGCAGTCGAAGGGTCTCGCAGGAGTCTTCTCCAGCACCACAATTCAAAGGCCTCAATTCTAAGCAGGACCAAATCACTCAGCATCACTTTCAACTAGCATGCTAAATATCAAGGCTCTACTTGTCTACTCAGAATAAGCAAGAGGAGCGTCAGAAAGAAACAAGACTGAGTCTCTCAGCAGTTTCCTTCACTGGTCCAGCCTCCCTCTCCAGCATGGAAAAGCTCTGATTGTTGATCAGTCGCTGTGGGCAAGGGGAATAGGGCCAGAGAGGAAGCAGCAAAGCGATTCAGTTCTAATTCCCTCTCAGTAGGCATGCTATTCATGCCCACCTCTGCAGAAGCTTGGTGTTTGGGCTGGTATCCCTAAGTGTGGCTGCATGATTCTTTCCTGCTTTTGTGTGTAGATGTGCATCCCATGCTTCTTGAAGGTAACAATAGTTTCAGGCCTGCCCACTTCTGCCTTTGGCGCCACTCGCTGCTAGTATGATGCTCTGGAGAGCTTCTCTGAAATGGAATTTGGTTTTCAGAATGAGAAAGGCAGATTGGGACTGGTTTACCTGAAGGACTCTGTTCACCCAAGCTTGTCTGAGCTTTAACATCAACATCTGATGCCCTGCCCTTCATCCTCCAATGAGAACCAAGAGATTAGTGCTCATGAGGGATGGAGCTTTTTTGCATACCTTTGAAATATCTTCTTTCTGCTTGTTGGACTCTAGAAGAATTGACTTTTTATTCCAAACTGCATTTGGTGAATTTTAATTGTTGTGCTTTTCACTAAGGTTTTATGTGCTGCTGCTTATTTTGGTATTTTAATGCTTTGCGTACTTAATGATGTTTGATTATTTACTTTGTATTTTATAGCATGCTTCTATATCCTTTGTGAGCATTTGTACCCTGGAAAGAAAGAAAGAAATCACCCTGAAAGGTCATACACCTCAAGTCATTTTTCAAACATTTGCTGCTCACCTATCAAGTCAGTATCCACAGCCCGATCATAGTAATAGGAAAAGGCATAGAAGGAACTTTTCCGAATCTCATCTGGTTGATGCAGTTTTCCTTGAACAACCTTCAACACTTCAGAATAACAATGTTCAAATCCTGTTTTCCCTGCAAATGCAAGCATGATATGAGTCCCACTTTAGACAGAGCAGAATACATAACAATGAAATTTAGGAGAGGAGACACATGAGGGAGAAAGCACAAAAATAGAATGTTACATGGCCTTCCTCAGGATAGCCATCTTTTTCCTCAGCACTGCTGCAGCCTGGGCACAGCCCCATCTCTATCTTTGCTGTTCCTGTATGAGTATATATTCAGAAGAGGGTTTTTTTAAGACCCTATGTGGGGAAAGACAGTCTTAGGAAGGGACTTTGCCATAAAAGGACAGTAAGTATACTCCAAAATAAAATTCCAGAGATGGTAGGAAAGTATGCAAGTTAGCCTGAGTGTGACCCCAAACACTGGCCTTTTCGTGGAGCCAGAACAGAATGGAAATAGTTTTTCCAGCCTATGATTTCTTGTCCAGTCTTCTCTAAATATGAAATGGAAACTTCTAGGGCACTGCAAACTCCTAGCAGCAGCTTTGCTGTGAACAGCTCCTGCACAATAACTGGTATCTTATCTGGATAGACACAACCTGTTGTTCACATTGCATTTTGACTTGCTGTCTTCACACATTTTGTCTCGCTTCACCTCATCTCCATCCAGGTATACACGTGAGTTTTACCTTTAAATACTGGGGTTTTATTAAATAATGAATTTAAGTAACATCTATTTTAAGAAACTATGAAATCAAGTCAGGTTGCAACAGTTTTTTTGTCATGTGAGCCCTCCATATCAAAAAGCTTGAAAAGTGTTTGAAAAGGAAGAAGTAAAGAAAAGAAAACAAAGCAAAGCATAATGAGGAAGGATAGTCTTATGCCAACACATGGCTTTGCTGGGACTTAGACCAAGTATTCCTCAGTTAAATTGCAGAGTGAAAGAACATCATTTTATTCCTTCCTAACTATCTCCAGTACTGATCTAATCTTTTTCTAGTGTTATGATCATCAAAGGGCATGCTGTGGGCCTTGGGACATACTTTCAGGAACCACAGGACTGCTCTAAGGGTCAAGTGAAATGCATTAAATGTCTATATTATTTTAGTAGGACAAAATACTCCAGTGAGGGATTTATTTTCTGACAGCTACTACTTCAGGCCAGGTCTACACCTTTTCAAGCAAGGTCCCAGCTAAGAAAGCAGTCTTCTAAAATACAAGAAAAGATAAAGAGAAGACTGCCTTTAAAAAACAAAGCAAAACACCTCTTCATTTAATCAATCTTTGGAAACAATGTATTTCTAACTTGCCTTCTTTGTTGCCACCATATTGGTATTTGACTCCCCCAAAGTGCCATTCTGCTTCCAGCTTTCTTGGCAAACAGGAGCTTCGGAAGGTCTGTCCATCTACTGTTGAAGAGAATATAGATTTGGAAAATAGTCAAGAAGTTTTCTAGCCACCATGTAATTGCAGGAAAAGGAAGCTGGAAAAGTTCAAGTTCTCCATTCCATTTTCAGGGGAAAATTAAGATAGTGCTTGTTTCTCCAAATGGGACATTTAATCCATTGGAGTCAATAGAAATTAGTTAGTATTGATAAATAGCATGATAGCGGTGTATAAATATTACAGTGAAGAGAGCCTGGATACTCCTAATATAGGAGGAGAATAGGAAAAATGGATACTGATTGCAGAATACTGCTATTTTTAGTCACAAGCCAGAAATTGATGAGAATGGGACAGTCATTAGTAACACAAAGGTTGGAAGACAAGGAATCTAGGTGTGTTGGATAAGCAGGAGAAATGCATTTCATACTATGGTACAAGAATGGTGGTGGAATGGGGAAATATTTATGTGTATGTGACTTCAGGAACCCTGAAGTTCTTGTGGAGTATGACTTGATAATGACTTTGAGAATGCCTAGTCTAATTTAAAAAAAGATGGGATACATTGAAGAAATGAGGAAAAGGCATCTGCTGAAGAAGCTGAATCTTTTCTTATTCCAAAAGAAATGCAATTAGCCCAACTGCATGGTTGTCCTCTCTCTTAAGTCTTCCAAAATGTAAATAAAGTAACTACAACTCAAACTCCCCTTTATCCAAGTGCTTGGTTTTAATAAGAAATTACATGTACCACAGAGCAGCTTAAAATTGCTTTCCAGAGTGCAGCTGCTTGTAGAGTTTATCTTTAAGGTTAGCATTTCACAGTCTAGATTCTGTTTCATTATGCATACTGGCTCAAATACAGTTTAGTATTACCTACCTCAGTAAAACCCTTTTTAGGGGGATAAATGCACACTGAGATGGGTATAAAGGAAAATCCAGCTAAATGCAGAGAGCCAGATAGATGGGGAATGGATGCACTCATTCAGTTTGTTTGATCCCTACAAGTCACATGCTACCTGCATTAATTCCTTAATAATCGGTGTTCCAGTCAGAACAGGTCCTAGTAGCTTAAATAAGGTGGCTGCTTGAGGATAACAAGGATGCTCCAGGGTGACAGTGGCAGTCCTCATGGTTCATCCTGCTGAGCCCCCTCTAGCCATTCCCATCTTCCTAAGCTAGCACCTCTGAGGCATCCAATGTTTCTATACTGGAATCCTCTTGCTACTAGAGAGTGCACCTAAACTTAGGTGTTGGTGATATACACATGTATTTAAAAGTAATTGATTTAAAGCAGGTATATAAATAGTCTAAAAATCTTTCATTTGCTGAGAGCACTAGCTAAAACTGATTGCCAGAAAGATCCCCAACTGGTGGAGTAAAGTGTTACCCTGAAAAGTGTCATCCAAAAAAGTCTGGTTTTTTTCAAATAGAGAATACTGGCTGCTGTTCCTAATAGCAGCAACCCAATAGAATCATAGGTTTGAAATATTGAACATGAACTCACTGCCCCAGATTACATAGTTGCAATCTGGAAAAATCATTTTATTTTCAAACAGCATTCTATGCCCCCAGCCAGCCTCAAACTCTCCCACAATCTCCTCCTGGAATATATTGCACTCCCTTGCAGTTACTTTGTGCCTTATTTTTCCTCCGTATAGTAGTAGTGTATTGGAAACTGGCACTATTCCTAGTCAAGCTACTACCAGTAATCACAGAGAGACATAAGATAGCAGCCAGAAAATCTAGTGGTAGCTATGCCATTCCCTTATTAACACACACTCTATATGTAATTTTTCTATATCACTGTACCTTCCATTTCTAATGCTCCCAATGTTGCCAGTCGTGCAGCTTTCAGCCCAAATCCCAAATAACTGTAAAAAAAGACAAAGGGTGCTTAATTAAAATTCATGTGCACCCTATTCCACATGTGAGACTAGGTAGCAACCCATTTTATAAACATGGACATAAATGAGATTTTGTTCAAAGAGCCTCCTGTTTGCTGAGTTCCAGATGTGACATGTTAACTTGTGGCTCTTACACATTAATTCACAATCTACCAAGTATTGTAAGAATGAAGAAATGTCTATAGTTTTCTGCCACAGGCCTTTAAAAGTTATTCTGATAACCAGCAAAATACACCGGCTTAAGAACTGACCAGAACAAATTGTCAGGGTAGATATTACTTCTGGCTGAAGGTCAGTAATACCTTAAGTTTTGAAGAAACAACTATTTGTAAAACACCTTTTCACTTACCTGTGCGTGTAGAGTTTAAAAGTGCTGTTGAACATTTGAAATGAGGTAAGAAAATCAACTGGTGTTTGCTCCAGGGTTTCCTAAAGATTAGAATAATAAAAAGGATTATTCAATGATAGCTATTTCAAAGGAAAACAGGGTAGCAACTTCCTACTTTTTTTCAGATATTTTGCACTGTCTACAGAGCTCTTGACCCACCTTCCCAACTCTTTCCTATTCAGTCCTCCCACAAGTATCCAGGAGAACATCATGAGAGCACCAAGTACCCCCCCCCCCCACCACCATTGCATTTCAATGGGATGGTGTGGAGGAGAAGGAGAACCTCTTTCCAATGGAGCAAAAATAGCAGGTGGGAATGGTGTGGGTGCAGCTAGCCACTGCTGATCCTGGCAAAGAGGAGTTGCTGGGCAACCCCCTGCTGCTGGCATCCAAGCCATGCTCTGCTTAGGCTTCTCTAGAAAAGTCCCAGCAGAGCATGCACCCCTACCTCCTGCTGCAGTAGCCCTACAATTGTGGAGCAGGTGGGGGAACACAAGTTTCATTTTGCTCAGTCTCTTCCAGGGAGGCCAAGTAGAAAGAACATGGTTTGTCCTACACCACCATGGCCACCAGGCATTTCAGTTGACAGCTATGGTAGCATGTGGAGCTTTTGATGGCTGTCCTGAAGTGATGCTTCAGCACTTTAGGATAGCTGTCATCGACACTTTCAGTGCAGTAAGCCTTTTTGGCACTCTTGCATGGTAGCTCTGTAGTGATCTGACTTGTCCCCTGGTGGATCATGCTGTCTGGATTCACGCTATACAGCAAGCTACCACAGAAAAAAACAAATCTTAGAATAAGCCATGGCTTGCCAGGTGGCTAATTAGCCAAACTTGAGCCATCCTGACAAAACTATCCTGAGTTCAGACAACACACTAAGCCATCATTGCTTCAAAGCCATGGTGACTTAGCATGTTGTATGAACCCAGTCAGTTTGCTGTTATTAAAAGACACAACTCAGGTAACCATGGGCTGCAATAAATGCAAGTGCTATTTATAAAGTTACCTTTACATGAACCTTAGTAGGAAGAGCTATAACTCAATGGTAGAACACATGCCTTGCATGCAGGAGGTCCTATATTCAATCCTGAGGATTTCCAGGAAAACCTGGAGAGTTCTACCAATCATTGTCAATAAGATTGAGCTAAAAGGATCAACTGTCAGACTCAGTATAAGGCATCTCCCTGTGTTGCTAAATAAGGTCAACTGAAAATCCTGAGAATTTGCAGCTATTAATGTTTGGAAAATTAGTTGTTATACTAGAAAAGTTATGTTTGCTTTTAAATGTGCATTACACTTTAGCTTTCTATAATTTTGGGTATTTTCTTTTTAATAATTTGATTGTAAATTACTTTGTGACTTTGAGCTTTTACAAGTGGAAGGTGATTTCAAAAGATATTATTCCAAAACCAATAAGGAAAAAAAAAATACTATCAAGGTCAATAGGGAATGTGGCCACATTCACAGACAGTACAAACAGAGGCTGGTACTAGAAAGACTGGGATACCTAAGAAACAGTCACTATTTTAAAGAATAAAATACAACATTTTGTAATAATCACATGGTTTAACATGAAACAAAATCAAATGTAGACGATTTCATGTTCCCTTTAGTATTTAAAGTATGTATAAGATGTCTAACAGTTTAATGAACTGTATTAAAGTAGCCTAGATCTAGATGAAACATAGAAACTTAGAAACAGAGTGAGTCCGAAGGGGCCTCCTGGGCCATCTAGTCCGACTCCCAGCTCCAGCCAGCTCTGCTCATGAAATAACAGCAAATAATGTGGACACCTGCTCCAAATTATCCAACATGACAGAAGCGCCAACTGCTCACCTCCAACTGTGGCAAAAATGTGATCTGAGTTGAGGCTCCTCCCAAGTCCAGAGTCCCCACTGTCTGATGATTCCGGCCATACAACTGCCCTGCAAGCAAGATTGCAGAAGTTAGTTAGTTAGTTAGTTAGTTAGTTAGTTAGTTAGTTAGTTAGTTAGTTTATATATATATATATATATATTTAGGAAACTTCTATGCTGCCCCATTCGCCGAAGCCTCGGGGCGGCTCACAAACATAAATAAACTTCCTTAAAATAATATAAATTAACAGTATAAATTAAGTCGCCCTGGCCAAAGAATAAAATGAATAAATACTATTAACAATTAAAATGACATTTGAATAAAAAGGTTTTTGCCTGGCGCCGAAAAACAAATAACGACTGCGCCAGGCGGACCTCTCTGGGGAGCGCATTCCATAGATTGGGCGCCACCGCAGAGAAAGACCTCCTCCGAGTACTCACCCTCCTAATTTCCTTCACGGAGGGTTCCTGGAGAAGGGCCTCCCCCGCCGATCTCAAGGGGCGGAAGGGCATATATGGACATAAGTGCTCCTTTAGGTAACTAGGCCCCAAGCCGTTTAGGGCTTTATAGGTCATCACCAACACCTTGAATTGGGCCTGGACTTCAATGGGAAGCCAGTGAAGCTGACGGAGGACTGGAGTCATGTGAACATAACGCCCAGTCCCCGTCAGCAGCCTGGCAGCTCTATTTTGAACCAATTGAAGTATCTGGACTGTTGCTCAATCTTTGCAACAGAACCCAAGTCTTAAAACTGAAACTCATATTAGTAATTACCAGTCAAAAAGTTCACAGTGATCCAGGCTAGAATACCTGTAAGGAGGAGGAAAATAATACTGAAAGTCCTTCCATCTTTAGATCCAAAATGCAATATATAAACATTTCCATTGCTGTTACACTATCTGCACTTCTGTTAATCAATTATTTGTACTTTTCCTACCAGAATCTCATTTCATTCCTTGCTTGAGCTTCTAATGTTTACTAGACTTCTTCTGTGTCTCAGTCTTTACCGCAGAAACTTTAATAATGTTTTTAAATAATTTATCCATTCAAAAATTACTTGGCCGCATTTTACATGCCTTCAAATCAGTCATTTAAGATGACCTTTGCAGAATTAATGCATCAGTTCTACTCAAACCAATGGTAAAAGACAGTGACTTTTTGTACCACACGCTAAGCTATGGTGGCTTATAAACCACAGTGGGTTAGTTGGCTTGCAATGGGTTTGTCAGTCAGCTTTTGTTTGGCTTATAAGCCACCCTGACACCCCATGGCTTGTTGTAGGGTCTGTCTGACCCAGCATGGTTTTCATGTCATCTTGAACCTGCACAACACAACCCATCACGAGTCAAGCCAAACCACTATAGAGCCATTTGGCAAGAATGGAAAACACCCCTGCTGCTCTTGCTAAATGGCTACCTGGCAGCAGCCTTTGCCAACTACCTCAAGAATGCCCAAGTGGGCATGACAAACAACACTGTGGTACAAGCCACGCAGTATGAGATTGAGGCGATTGAGAATATTGTGGATCCTTGCTCTCCCTGTCCCAACCCTTCTCCCCTTGGTCCTTCTGTGGGCATCACAAGGGTCAACATGGGAGGAGCAAAACTTTCCCCCTTTCCCAAACAAGCTATTTTGGGTTTGCCAGGCTTGACTTTTAAAACTTTCTTTTGAGAGAGAAGAGAACAAAGCCAATTGATCCCCATTTGGGCAGCTATGAGTTGCCTTCCAAAGTGTCCCAGTGGTACATTCGGAGGGGCTGCCCATCCTTGTCTGCACTTCATTCCTCTAATAATATGCAGAGGCAACCATACTGTTTGGGGGGAGGGTTGACTCACCTTGTCAAATTTAAGCAAATCTAGCAGGGCAGCAGGAAGAAGGGTGTCCACTGGCCAAATTCAACATGTGTTCACTGTGTGCGGTGCCTAGCCCAGGCTGCAGCTAAGGGATTTCCTCCTTTGCACGCATCTGGTAGGGGCATGTTCCCTTTTTTGCAACATGATCCTCAGATTTTCTTGTGGGGAGACCATCTGTTCCTAGTTACCCTTCAGTTTTGAAAGTGTGTCCCTAATGCTGGCACTGAGGGACATTCAAAAGTAGAGGGGATTTGCACTGACAAGAACTTGGAGTGTTGCAGGTGTCAAACCTAGGGCTCAATTTCTGAAATGCAATTTGGAATGGTTTAAAAATTTCAGTTTTTCCAGAAAATTGTAAGGAGAAAAACTCTATACCTGTTCAGTTCCTGTCAAACATAATTTTTTAAACTCTTCCAAATCCCAATTAAAAAATGGAGGTCTAAAGGCTGACAGATTAAGTTACCTGTCAACCACATCTGTTCCTGTCAATGAGAGTTCTCCCAATTTTTGTAGCTCCCCAAGGTGCTATCAACCCAGAGTCACCTGAAAAACGAAGAAGACCCTTAGGACATGTGAGAACCCCCAAAACACCAGAGGATTCTGCTGAAATTGAAGGGGTGTTCCCCAGACAACTTATGTAAAATTCTTCATTTCTTTTCAGGGTGCTTATGTGTCCATGGGTTATCCTCATTTGCAAAAGTTAGGGGAAAAGTTCAGAGAAGGCAACAAAGATGATCAGGGGAGATTGAAAGAACTGGGGATGTTTAGCCTTGAGAAGAGAAGACTGAGGGAAGAAAGGATAGCATTTTTCAAATACTTGAAAGGCTGTCACACAGAGGAGGGCCAGGATCTCTTCATCATGCCAGATTGTAGGACATGGAATAATTGGCTTAAGTTGCAGCAAGAACTTTCTGATTCTTAGAGCAATACAGCAATGGAACCAATTACCCAGGGAGATTGTGGGCTCTCCCACACTGAAGGCCTTCAAGAGGCAGTAACAGCCATCTAAGAGGGATGCTTTAACTTGGAATCCTGCACTAAGCAGGGAGTTGGACTTGATGGCCTTATAGGCTCCTTCGAACTCTACTATTATATGTTTCTATAAAAGCTGCCTCTAAGTGACACTTGGCCACTTGGGTACACCCGTCAGTGGCATTCAACTGGCAGCTGCTTGACAAGAGTGGCAAGGGTTTTTCCCCACTCTTAACAAGTGGCTTGTTTTCAATAGGGCTTGACCCACAATGGGATTGTGTAATCAAGTTTAAGACAACAACCTGTAATATACAAACCAAATGCAAGTCATGGCTTCTCAGAGTGGCTTATAAGCCTAAAATAAACCATGCTACAAACCTATTCCAGGTCTGCATGCCACAACAAACTACCACAATTTATAACCACTGTAGGTTCTCACATTATGCAAAGTTATCCACTCTTAACTAATTTTACCTACGTTTGGACATTTCACTCAGACAAATTGGACATGTTGAATAAATGAAGTGACAATATATAGATTGAGCTTATCTTACTGTATCTTGCCCATATTTAGACTGTGTAAATCTGCAGGTAGGACTTCTGCTATTTTGCCTACAATTGCCTCACCAACATCACTATAATAATAAAAATCCTCACTATAGATAATAAATTGAGATTCATGTGGTGACTGTAGGCTAAGCAACCACTTCCTTTCCAGTGTCAGATTCAGCTTAGATAGCATACCAGTTACTCACCATGCCAGCCTGCTTGAGTTTGTCTTAACTGTAATCTCCATGAGGTAGACAACATGTCTCACATTGTCAGCTGTTCATCCCGCAGTATTACCTTTAACCCCACCCATTTTTCTTCACTATTCAAATTCAGGTGTCCTCTTTTGTGTACCTGAACTCCCTAATTTAGTTATTGATTAAGAAAAAACACATTCTAATACACCAACAAAAACAGAAATCATTCGTTCAATACCAGCTTTGACATCGGTTTGAATTCTGGTGATAAATGGGTGTGGAAAAAGTTAGTCTCACCATGGTCACATCAACATTTACAATGCCTCTTTCGCATCAGGCAAATGCACTATAATAAAGCAAGATTAGAAATATTTTACCTTTCATTCAACCTTGAAAGGCACTTCCCATTCTACTTGCTTCCACAATTCCCACCCAAAACTATCCTCTTCCTCCCAGGACCAGCTTTAGCAAGATCCCTCTCAGGACCCACCTTCATAAGATCCATCCATGATGGTCACACTGTCATCAGGAACAAGAAAAGGTGATTCTTCAAAGACCACCTTGACCTGTAGAAGTGAAGAAAAAAAAGGGTCATACAGTCATATTCCTCTACTATAGAGACATTCGTGGAGCAGAGTGTGCTGATACAATGTTCCTCTTCTACAAAATGTAAAGCAGGGAAGATACTTTCTTTCAGCTCACCTCCAAATATCATTAATAAAAAATAACCATCTCCTTTTTTGACACCCCATCCTTATTAAGAGGAACACCAGCTACAGGACTAATACATGCATCGCACAAGCCTGGCAAGACAATAAAAACACATAAAAGCACACAACTGCAGCAAATTTGTGGCAAAAAGTGCACCCAGGCAGACAATAAAAGCCCCATCTTTTTTGCATAACAACACCTGTCCTTTCAATGAAACCCGATATTACCTCTGAGAGTAGAGCCTGAGCCTTGTGCTCTGCTAACAGCCGTAGACCAGCTGTGGCTTTCAATACTACTGGGGTCTTATTCCAGTGGCTGGGTGGCACAGCTTCTTTGGCCACATCTAACAATTTTCTGACTGTGTCAGCTCCCTAGAAATGAAAAGAAAACAATGCATAAGCATTGGTAGGGTTGGGCAAGCCACTAACTGGAAAGCTTCTTTCAAAGATTCCTTTTCCCTCAATAACTTCCTCAGAACCCTCCTTTTTGGCTTAATCCATTATTTTTTGTCTGCAATCTAATTTAGCATCAATGCAATTGCATTGGTTCACATTCATCCCTTGCTATCCATGTTTCTCTTTTCTCTTAACTTTTTCACTGTTTATCTTAGACTTGGAGGGACTTGTCCATTTTTTTTCCTTTATGGAATTCTTAAAAGTGCCATGTATATTATGGATGGTGCTCTATGCAGAAGGGGAGATAGCAGCTAGTTCAGTGATGGGGCCCCTGCTTTGCAATCAGAAGATTACAGATTCAATCCTCAGGCTCTCCAGTTAATAGGATCAGGTAACAAGTGATGGGGAAGAGCCTGGAGAACTAGTGTCTTCCAGTTAGATTAAGCCAAACAGACAAACAGTCTGACCTGATAAAGGGTATCTTGCATAAATAAACATAAATGTATGAATGAATAAATCCTTTTCAAATACCAATAGTGAGTGGCTTATTTTCTTTACTGGATAGCTGCAGCTGTTTAGTTTTGCTCTCTTTTCCTTTATTTTTTTATCTGCCTCTATTTGCCTTCTCTCTGTTGCCCTTCAATTAACTAAACTTTATATAGAACAGGCAAGATGGAAGGAGGCCTAACAGTCACAAAAATCTATCAGAATGTGTTACCTTTTTTGGATGATCAGCATATGCAGAGAGACCTGGTTTCACTGATTCAAAGATCTCTCCTTCTAATTCTGCAGGCTTTTCTGCAAAAATAAATAAAAAGAACTTATCAACCATTTTTTGGTAACATATGTATGGTGCATGGATCAGGAGTACTATTATTAGCTCCATTAACTCCCAGTGATGGTTTGCTTGAAAAGTCTGAACATAACTAAAAGTTGCACTTTTAGCACACTGTTCTAGTGTTTGAACCAACAGCTGTAACTGTTTCAGAGAAGGAGAGTTTCAAAATGAACTGCAAAAACTGCAGTTTATTATTGGGAATGCACACAGTTCTTTGTAACACAGGCCTGGATGTGTGCTTCCTTATCACATACCCTGTTTTCCTAGAAGTACATAAAATTATATTTCTGAGCAGTACAGGGATACTTGCCAAAAGGCACACCCTTGCTAATATGTTCCACTTACATGCTTTGTATATGACATTAGTGACTCTCTGGAGAATGCAAGTATGCTAAGTTTGTAACAATAGTTTATTCATCAAGAATGTCAGTTCCCTGAATTAACCCTTTTATTAACAACTGAAGCTTGTGGGCACTTGTCTATTTTCTCATCTGTGTCTGTATGTCCGTTTCATTTCTGACTCCTAAGCGAAATACCAGGATCCTCCATCCTGAAGGATATCTAGCCACCAACTTGCACATCTATACAGATGCTCAAAGCAAAGGGTGAAAGCAAAGTAGGATATTTTAAAACAGCAGTGAAACATCAAACACCACACACAATTCTGCTATTTTTTCTTGTGACTTGACTTACTTCTAGTTTCAGGAAGTTTAATGTACTTTTAAAATTATAGTCAATGGAATTCCTACTTTGGGGCATATATATTTACATATTATTACTTCCCCTCTGTAACATTTAGAATAGCTTTGGTTTTCAGCTAGACAGACATTTGTTGCATGATCTGTTACTGACTATAACAGAAGGAAGAGGTTGAGTGCCATGTATGTATGTTCCTGACTATTCTTCTGTTGTATTTTCTGTAAGTTTAAAAATAGAATCCTCTCATTTAAGTGGATGCAATCCAAGTTAAGCAGGGTTGGGCTTGGATAAAATCTAGACGGGTGACTTAAAATGTTGTGAACTGCCCAGAGAGTGTTGACTATAAGCAGCATAGAAATGTAATGCGGTGGTGGTGGTGGTGGTGGTGGTGGTGGTGATGATGATGATGATGCTATTTAGGCATTTATAAAGCATTCATTAGCATGAAGCTGTCAGGTTAATAATAAGCAGCTTTCAGAATTAGGTTTAAAGAAGTAGTTATAGGCATGCTCTGCCTTTTGAATGATGGCCAAAGTGGTTGATGTCAGGATTAGCCAAGACAAACAAGACAAACAATACATTTATAATCTGAGAGTCTCCGTGGCATGTTTGCAAGAAACACATCTGCTCAGGAGAACCTTCTCATATACTCTTACCTGGACTTCTTTGAATAAAGGTGTAAATGTGAATTCGTGTCCCTGTACTTCCTGCATCAAACATGATGCCATAAAAAACTTCCACACTGGCATTGGCAGGACACACCTTAGGGGGGAAGAGGTCTTGAAACCAAATTTCTGGGTTGGGATGAGAAGCTATGCAGCAGATGGAGGAAAGTGCGGATACCACAATGACTGTGACCCAGAAAAGTGCCATGATAACTTGGGAGCTTAAGACAGCTGCTATTTAAATCAGGATAGCCAGAGTTGCAGAAGTTCCTGGAGAAAGAGTTATGAACCAAGAGAAAATTAGTTACATATTAGTTAAAGAAGTTTTGTAACAGAGAATACTCCCACTTCCTAAAAGTGAGACCACTTACACAGACAAGAGCAACTACCACAATACCTGCTACAAACACTCTTCAACTTAAGACTCCTGCTTCAGAGCCTATGGAAAAATTAAAAGATAGTATACACTTAATTCAACAAAATTCTCTCTTCCTTGTAGATTTGGATCTACAACTTATGAGCAACGTGAACTATAAAGTAAGATATAAATATGAATATAGTAATTCAACTGAAGTGTGATCAGGCCAAAACTTTTGTGTCAGGACTGTCACAATGGAAAGTGCAGGGAAGCACAGAACACAAAAGTCAACCAAAACAATGGACAATGAGACTCTCATTTGCTGCTGATGGCAGCTGCTTGGAGAGATGATTATATAAGGCAAACAACCCCACAGCTACCAACACATGCATGTTGTTTCAGTCTTCTATCCCTGTATCCAATTTACCTCTGAGAATCCTTGTTTCATGGATTTGACTTCCAAAGCACATGCAAATAATTTTTAGACTGAACTTCACCACCAATGCTAAGTCTGGTCATAGCACTTTGAGCATCCCAGAAAGTGGGCAACAGTCAAGGAAGATGATAAGCTGTATATTTCTATTCTTCAGCTCAGCAAAAGCTGAGTTCAGAAAAGAAAAAAAATGCTTTAAAATCAAAGTCAAATTCAAACAAGGAAATGATCCTATGACCCTTAGGCATTGTCTGAGCTAGTGGGAATTCCTCCCACTGAGGATGGAGACAGCTCTCCAGCTGTAGGAGGAGGAGTGGGAGATCCAGCCATCTTCCCCTGCCTCTGTACAGCCAGTGCAGAAAGAACCATACAGCCTTGGAGGGAGGGAAAAGAGGGCATTCTGGTGGGAAGGGATGGGAGGAGACTGGAGAGGGCAGACATTACTGCAATGCCAAGTTGAGAGATGTAGTAGCTGCATGATACCCCTTTGCAGATGCCAGAGTGGAGCTTCTCGTGAGCCAGTAGCAGGGACAAGAATCTGCTGGCCAGCACTGTGGAAAGGAGCAGGACCATTCAATTGCTTCCCCCTCTGCCCCTCTGCATGTGCCATATCAAAGCTTCTCATGCATGCAAGAAAGTCAACGGCAGGGCAGAGAAGCAGCTGCATGTTAGTGATAAGGGGGAAGTAGCACTGGTCCAAGGCAGAGTGAGAAAGGGGAGCAGCAGGGAAATATACTGCAGCATGCAGCCCCCAACTGGGCACCACCACCCAAGTGTTTCTTGCCCCTGTTGCTGGATCATTTGCGTGCATGAGGCACTTCACTCTGGTGTGTGCAAAGCAGCAGAGGGAAATCAATTGAGCAGCATCTATCTTTTCTGCAGCACTGCCAAGCAGATTCCTCTCCCCACTCCCATTTTGCCTTAGCATGGATCAAGCAACCTTTCAACTTAAGCAGTCCCCTCTAGAGCAGGAGGCAAGGGTGCCTGACCAGCTCCTTATCTTCTCTGTTAACTTTCAGGGCATAAGCCCTGTTTGTGCAGCAGAGATGACTTGATAACAGTGGTGAGGCAAACTGGGCTTGCAAATGTGGCTGTCAAAACAAGGAGCATCATTCTTTCCTGAAGTGCCTCCTCGGATATTGCCTGGAAGATTGAGAGGGAAGAAAATGGTGGACAGGAGGACGCTTAGCATGATGAGTGTGATCTTTCAGGCACATCCATGCAAAAAAACTGTCCGTCGTGGAAGCCACATGGAATTGCTTGTCATGATGTGTGAACCTGGCCAGTGTTTTCATTAACTGCATTAACTTTCAGCACATGAAAAGAGGAGAAATTAATGTTGCTTTCATTTATTTCCAAGGTGCCTAGGTAACATGAAGACAGGACCTCCCATCACTGTACAGGTTTCTACTCATTTCCAAAATGGAAAACATTTGATAATAAAAACATGTCTCCCTCCATGAAATATCCTAGTTCTTCCTGCTGCACCAATATGTTCTATCCTGTTGGATATCCTAATTTGTACCACAGTCATAGGCATTTATCCTCATTGTCTGCTCTTTGTTTGTATCCTTGCCTGTTCTTAGTTCTGTTCTCGTGCTCCATCTAATTTCTAATAAGCCTCAAAGTCCACCTTATACACCAGTCTTTCAGTATTATATGCTATCCTCTCCACCTGCACATCAGTCTACTGATTAACTTTGTCCACTTACATGTAATCAGTACTTGACTTCTGATTGTATAACTGCTAGACCCTTTACCTTCTTCTGCCTCCACTATCCATCTCCTGTTTCACTGTGTTGTCTTTCTGAATCAGAAACCTCATCTACTCATTACAGTTTGTTCAATTTTCCTTCCATATCGCTAGCCTCTAATGCCAATCCTCCAACTTTATACCTTGCTAAAACAACACAGAAGGAAACTTTAAACCTCCCTCAACAACAGTATCTTTTCCCACCTTGATTCAAATAAATCCATTTTGTTATAAGATCAGGAAAACCTATTCCTGAAGAGCAATGTGGCCAATTACTTGTCACTTTAATAAATAGGAACAAGAACCAGTCTTCTGCCATTTATCAACTGTGTGTGTGCACACATGAATGGGCAGACAACTCAAGCCACCACAAAATGTCTGGGATCTGCTCCTCCTTGACAAGGGCCACCTCAGAAAGGAGGAGCAGACACCCTCGCCAGTGGCTTGAGAGGTCAACTCTTGAGCTTCTGGCAAGAAGGAAACAGGGAGCCAGGAGCTCCACAGTGCTGTCCCATGTTCAGGGTAGAGCAACACAAAGCAGAGGGGGCACTCCCAATTCTCCTGTCTCCTGCCTGAGAAGTCTACAAGCCATTTGTCTACAAGCCATCCAATCTATGGAATGTGCTCCCCAGAGAGGTCCGCCTGGCGCCGTCGTTATTTGTTTTTCGGCGCCAGGCGAAGACCTTTTTATTCAAGCGTCATTTTAATTGTTAATGTTATCTTTATTTTAAAGTTTTTTGGCCAGGGCGACTTATTTTATACAGTTACGTGTATTTTATATTGCTATTTATGTATTTTAATTTATTTATTTGTAAGCCGCCCTGAGGCTTCGGCGAATGGGGCAGCCTAGACATTTTCTAAATAAATAAATAAATAAATAAATAAATTTGTGTGATGGGGCTTTTTTGAAAGCAGTGTGGGAAGCTGAAATCAGCTTGCAATCATGGCTGTTGGAAAAAGGGTTCTTGTTCTTCCTTGCCTGGGATACTACTGAGAGGAACAAGGAAGCTTGAACAACTGTGGCTTATTGCCAGGGTGAGTTGGTGTGTCACACAAACTCAGCCAGCAAGTGTGTTGCTATGGTTTGCAACCAATGAAAGTTTCCCCACATGAAAACAGTCAAACTCCAAGTCACTCATTCACAACTATTTTTAAGATGCCAGAAATATGTGTAAATGTTTTTTTTCCATTATTTTTTGGTCACCAGTCTGGAGTTGCACCACTAGGCAAATCTTGCTTGATCAACATCCTAGTATCTTCTGTCAAAATGCAGGACTTAACGTTTGAGGTCATTGACAAAGCAGGACTGCAAATAAGTTGCTCCATTACTCTGCTTTAATTTAATAGAAGTCAAATAGCAAACTGTCCAGAGATAAGCAAAGCCATCAGAGGGCCTGTTTTCATAAAAGTGAATAGCAACTATATCTCCCCCTTTCAAGTGTGATCTAGTTTTGCAGCATTGCCTGGACAGTTCTCATTCCTCCCCACCCCTTTTCATATTTACATTAGCCTCTAGGTACTCCAGAAGGGTAAGATGGACACCCTCCCTTTTTGAAAGCACATTCTTTTGAGTGTTAAAGAAACCATTTTTGTTAAAACAGGGTTTTTGACAGGGCTAAGCAGAATTGCTTTAAGATATTTCATATAAAAATCCTTCAAATACCAGCAAGAAGACAGAGGGGGAAGGAGCAGGGAGACAACTCATAGGAAGCACCATCATTTGTCAGGTGCATTGTGGATTGTTCTACTAACAACCCATATTAGCTTATTTATCATATGAATTCACCCTGTCATATGAATTCACCCTCCCTTGTCAATTTTAGATTATAAGTCTTCTCAGGGCATGTCTCCATCCACAAGTGCTTCTTAAGCATCACACACATTGATTGCATCTTATTTTTTAAACAGATCTTAAAAATTAATATTTGATTATAGCCTTGACCCCATCTTCACCAAAATAATTGAAATTTATGCAGCTTTATTCTATTCCAAAATTACATCAAAGCAATTTAACCAGCCAGGTAGTTGTGAAAGAAGCCACTACATCTGTACATACCTTTCTCTTGGCTTCATTTGATTTGTCTACTAATTACACAAGCAAGAAAGCATGTTACATTTCAAGCTGACCACTCTCCATAACCTGGGTTTATCATTTATCTAATACAAACAAGAAAATGTAGGGTTTCTTTCTACTGATAAGTTCAAGGGGCATATTTCAGGCAGGAAAGGGTTCCACAGGGAATGCTTCTTAATCAGAAAATGATTTACCAAGTTGAACATTCTTTGCAATAAAAAGGCACAAGGTCAACTCATGATAACGAGGGGAAAGTAGAGAAACATGTACATGTTATGTCACAGTAAGCAGGACAGTTAGTATTGCATTAGTTCATTAATAGCGGTTGTTTCCTGAAAAGTGCTACACCTAAACACATACACTGTACAGTTCCCACAGGCACCAACGTAACTAGAATTTGAGGATAATGGCAATAATCTTTTCAAGATTAACTCATATACTCAAATCAATTCATATGTAGTGAAATGATACGTGCTCTTTTTTAACTCATATTGGTCAGCTACGTGGAAAATGCGCATTTTGATTTAATGTAAACTGGCAGAAACTATTTCCCTTTGTTTGTATGCAACAGGCTGGGAAAGGAGAGAGATCTCGAAGGTGCGCGCCGGGTAGAGAAGATGCGTGCCAAGTGAGTGCCTAATTGAACTCTATGGAGTACCAAGCCGGTAAATACAACCCAAGCTAAGAGAGGGACACTGAGGAAGCGAAAACCGGGCCAAGACTGCACAGAAAGGGAGCAACTAGACCCTCGCCCCCGAGCGAGGGAAGGCAAGAACACTTCGTCGCCCTCTCGCATCCAGCTCTCCACTCACCGCCTTCGCAAATCCCTCAACCTTCCACATCTCGCCGGTGCTGCGTGTCACGTCAACAAAGCACGCATTACGTCACGGACGCATTCTTTTCTCCTCACTTTTTCGCGACGTTTGGTTTCTATAGTAACGCGTCGCCTGGGTGGGAACACTGGAGACTAGCGATCATTCAACATGAAGGGGAAAGGGAAAGGCACGAAGGGAGGAAAGTAAGTAACTGGGCTGTGGGTGGGTAAGGAAAAGGGCCCGGAATGAGCTCGTCAAGCCAGACGTGGTGCGCTGCAAGCAAGCTGCCAAGGCCTCTTGGACATTTCTACTCATCGCCTGACCCTTCACTCGTTCAGGGGGAAGAAAAGTGGCGGCGGGGGCGCCAAGGCGAACTTGAAGACTGTGAAAGAGGAGTCGGAAGCCGACAGGGCTAAAGCTGCGGCGGCGCTATGGGAGGCCAGGCTGGAGGTCACCGAGATCTCCCGCAAAGAATACCGGGAGGCCGCCCGCCGCCTTGCTCGTAACAACGAAGAGCTGGAGCGGCAGCAGCGGCGGCTGGAAAAGGACACCGTCGAGGTGATCAGCTACCTCAAGAAGCAGGACGCGGAGAAGGAAGAGCTGGTATGTGCTGAGCACAGTCACTTGGTTAGCCAGGCTTTGTAGAAATCTAAGGTCAGTCTGGCAAAACTAGTCCGACATCAAAGAGTCATTTAAAGCATGGTCACGGTCGTCTAATTAGACGGTTTCAGTTATTAGCTACAAAACAGAAGCAGAACCCCTAATAGAGGTTATTGCTCCTCGGAATGAAGAAGTGATCTTGAAAGAATTTCAGAACACTTGCCATTATTATGCTACTCTGCCTATTTTTTCAATGAGGGAGAGTTGATCTGGTTAGGGGAGTTTCTCCTTAATATCTTTCAGCAACATGAATTGCAACAGCCTGTTGAACACTTTGCCAAAATCATTATTCCTTCCACTGAACTTCACAAGAGTGTTAATATGCTTACACTCTTGTGTCAATAGTGTCTGGTAACTATTAAATTTACTATTTATTTTTCTTCACCATTTCAGAGTCCGCTCTTCCACCTCAGCCATGGGATAATTAGACTGTAGTCTTTTGGATAAGAATAAACTTCTGCACTGTACTCTTTTTGGAAATGGGAATTACAGGAACAGATTTTCCCCAAAAGCACTCCTGGGAGAGACCTCCAATAAAGGAGATATAGTAGTGCTTGTAAACCTGAAACATCAGTGTAAAATATGTCTTTCTCCATACTAGTACCCCTTCCTCAATACCAGGAACCCCTCCTTCAGCTCTTGGAATTAAGAAAAAGTGATTTTGAGTCAGAAGGCAAGTATTTTAACTGAGTTTGTGGAAAAATTAGCCATATGTACAGTGGCCTTCCCTTAGTAGTGGTTGGCCTGGACAGCATCTGAGATGCAATTATTGATGTTTTCCATTTGCCAGAAATGATTGAGTTCTCTCTTGATTTTATTTTTGGAATATGTAGATTGAAAAGCTGAAGCTGCAGGTTACTGAACTGAAACAAAAGGCCAAAGAGGAGAGCGAACAAGTGGTGAATGGACATTTCTTCTGATGCTGTTGGTAACATGGGGTGCTGAAGATCAGGCTAAACAAATCTTGCATGTTGGGCCTCACCGATAAACACATTAGACAAGATTGTTTTGCAGTAAAGATACTAAAGCTTATCATCTTAAAGGATCCTGTTCTAATGCCTCATGGCAGTGATGATAGTTTGTGACCTTCCATATGTTTTAGCTTAAAGCTGCCATCATCCTGCACCATTGGCCATGTTCGCTGGAGGTATTGTGAATTGTAGATCAAAGCATCTGGAGGGTAAACAGTTCATCATTTGTGCCTTAGGCTATGTCAAGGGCCTTAACAGTTCTCTTGTTTGTTGTTTTAATGGGAAAAATTGAAAAGAGAAGCAATAAACCAAAGCTGTATGCTTAAGTTTCAGTCAGCAAAAGGAGATTTACCTCCAAGTAAGCACACCTAGAATAAGGCTGTAAAAGAAATGGCATTCTCACTACCAGTTACAGTTAGAATTATTTGGTTCTAAACATATTTGCTTCTAAAAAGTTCTCATGTTGAAGCTTCGTTTTGTTAATCGTTACTTTAGCCCTTTAGTGATGGCTTTTATCTGGTGATGGCCTTTGATTTTAAAGATGCTGTATGTGAAGCTGACACCATGTTATTTGTTGCATTTGTTAGTACTGATTTTTGCCCTAGTGGTTCCCCTTAGTTGTTTCTTTCTTGTTAAAAATTTCTAATTTGCAGGCAGAGCAATTTGCCAAACAGTTGGAGGAGATGGAGGAGAAATTCCACAAAAAGGCCAAAGAGATAGGCCTAATCCAAATTGAGCTAAAAATGATAAAGGAATTTCGCAAAAAGAAAGCACTTTTGGAAAAAGAACTTGAGGATGTGAGTTTATTATTGGTATTTATGTTAATTAGACTTAGAAGGGCTTTGTGCTCTTTTTGTTGCCACCCCTGTGCTAGACTGCTTAGGTGTGACTTCTAAAACTGAATTGGAGTTTTGAGACATGGAATCAGAATTAACTTCAAACTAGAATAGGGCAGAAAAATATTATTTTTCTTGGATTTTTGTAGGATAATTGAGTTTTTGCATTTATAGCTGGATAACATTGATTTTCAGAGAAATGTTTTTGGGGAAAAATGTTCCCATTTGTTTGTTGTCCCCTGTCAGAGACAGACAACACGAGCAAATTTTTTAAAAATCTCTCTTTATTGTAGGTGCGCACCAGCAATATAGAGTAAGCGGATTGAGTGGGGATGAGCTCTGTTTCATTCATGCATCATACCCCATATATATGTTTAAGTTGGCAATGACAAAAAATATAACAAGAAGCATGTCTAAAGGCTAATGTCCACTGGAGAGGGAAATGGCAACCTACTCCAATATCTTTGCCGTGAAAACCCCATGGACAGTACCAAAAGGCAAAAAGATATGACGCTGGAAGATAAGCCCCTCAGGTCGGAAGGTGTCCAATATGCTACTGGGGAAGAGCAGAGGGCTAGTACTAGTAGTGCCAGAAAGAATGAAGCGACTGGGTCAAAGCCGAAAGGACACTCCGTTGCAGATGTATCTGGTGGTGAAAGGACAGTCCGATGCTGTAAAGATTTATGCTCCATAGGAACCTGGAATGTAAGATCCATGAATCAAGGCAAGCTGGAGGTGGTCAAACAAGAGATGACAAGACTGAACTTTGACATCTTAGGAATCAGTGAACTAAAATGGACAGGAATGGATGAATTTAATTCAGATGACCATCAGGTATACTACTGTGGGCAAGAATCCCTCAGAAGAAATGGAGTAGCCTTCATAGTCAATAAAAGAGTAGGAAAAGCAGTACTGGGATACAATCTCCAAAATGACAGAATGATTTCAGTTCGAATCCAAGGCAAACCATTCAGCATCACAGTAGTCCAAGTCTATACTCCAACCACCAATGCCGAGGAGGCTGAAGTTGACTAGTTCTGTGAAGACCTACAACACTTGCTAGAACTCACACCAAAAAATGATGTCCTTATCATCATGGGAGATTGGAATGCTAAAGTGGGAAAACAAAAGATAACTGGAATAACAGGCAAGTTTGGCCTTGGAGTACAAAATGAAGCAGGGCACAGGCTGGTAGAATTTTGTCAAGAGAATACAATGGTCATGGCAATCACTCTTTTCCAACAACCCAAGAGACAACTCTACACATGGACATCACCAGATGGTCAACACAGAAATCAGATTGACTATGTGCTCTGCAGCCAAAGATGGAGAAGCTCTATACAGTCAGTAAAAAGAAGACCAGGAGCTGACTGTGGCTCAGATCATGAGCTTCTTGTTGCAAAATTTAGGCTTAAATTGAAGAAAGTAGGGGAAAGCACTAGGCCACTCTGGTATGACCCAAATCATATCCCTGATGAATATACAGTGACAAATAGATTTAAGGAATTAGATCTGATAGACAGAGTGCCTAAAGAACTATGCATGGAGGTTTGCAACATTGTACAAGAGGTAGCAACTAAAACCATCCCAAAGAAAAGAAATGCAAGAAAGCAAAGTGGCTGACTGAGGAAGCTTTACAAATAGCTGAGGAAAAAAGGGAAGCAAAAGGCAAGGGAGAAAGAGAAAGATACACCCAACTGAATGCAGAATTTCAAAGAACAGCTAGAAGAGATAAGAATGCCTTCTTAAATGAACAGTGCAAAGAAATAGAAGAAAACAATAGAATAGGGAGGACCAGAGATCTCTTCAAGAGAATTGGAGACATGAAGGGAACGTTTCATGCAAAGATGGGCATGATAAAGGACCAAAATGGCAGGGACCTAACAGAGGCAGAAGAAATTAAGAAGAGATGGCAAGATTACACAGAGGAACTATACAAGAAAGAGCTTAACATCCCTGATAACTATGATGGCAGAAAGTGAAGAGGAACTAAAAAGCCTCTTGATGCGGGTGAAGAAGGAGAGCGCAAAGTTTGGCTTGAAACTCAACATTAAGAAAACTAAGATCATGGCATCTGGTCCTCTCACTTCCTGGCAAATAGATGGGGAACAAATGGAGGTAGTGACAGATTTTATTTTCCTGGGCTCCAAGATCACCGCAGATGGGGACTGCAGCCAAGACATTAAAAGACGCTTGCTCCTTGGGAGGAAAGCTTTGGCAAATCTAGACAGCATACTAAAAAGCGGAGACATCACCCTGCCAACAAAAGTGTGTATGGTCAAGGCTATGGTTTTCCCAGTTGTAATGTATGGCTGTGAAAACTGGACCATAAGAAAGGGTGAGCGCTGAAGAATTGAGGCCTTTGCATTGTGGTGCTGGCGGAGACTCCTGCGAGACCCTTGGACAGCAAGGTGATCAAACCGGTCAGTTCTAGAGGAGATCAACCCTGACTGCTCTTTAGAAGGCCAGATACTGAAGATGAAACTTAAATACTTTGGCCACCTAATGAGAGGGAAGGATTCCCTGGAGAAGAGTCTAATGCTGGGAACAATAGATGGCAAAAGAAGAAGGGGACGGCAGAGAATGAGGTGGCTAGATGGAGTCACTGAAGCAGTTGGTGTGAGCTTGAGTGGACTCTGGGGTATGGTAGAGGACAGGAAGGCCTGGAGGAATGTTGTTCATGGGGACGCGATGGGTCGGACATGACTTCGCGACTAACAACAACAACATGTCTTAAGGCAGGATGTATCTCGTACAGACTTATCTTGCCCTCTTTTTAGGGCATTTGGTGTCCTAATGCCTCCAAGCTTATCTTGACAAATGTTGATCTTCTTGATAAAGGTTTATTTTATATTTTTTTACCCTCTTGAGTCTGATAGAATACTAAGTAACTGACCCTTGTTTGGTTATCAGAAAAAATAGATTCTTCAGTATAAAATGAAGCTACTTTTTGTTTAAAATAGATATAATGTGGATTTTAACATCAATCTCTTCTGGGTACAATAGGCTTTGGGTGATTTATCTAGCTGAGGGAGGGGAAAAACTCAAGTCAGACATAGTATAGACTTTGATCACCCTGTTGGATGATCATTTTCAGAAAAAAGACACTGAGTGTAACCCAATTAATTCTGCTCCATCTCTTATTGGCTTTTGATACTATTGAGCATGGTATTCTCTTTGGATTAACTCTAGGAGCTGGGCATTGGAGACTCTGTTACAGTGATTTTGATCTTGTGGGATTACTTTTTTAAAATGGTCCTCATCTAGCACATCCCACTGAGTGTAGGCAGCAATCCAGGATCTTGTCTTCCTGTGACATCTGAATCAGGTGAGGCTGTGTAAGTCATGCATTGGTCATATACTCAAGCGATGTGCTAGATAAAAACCAATTTAAAAAACTGGGTCCTGGCAAGATGGAAGTCCTGTGGGAAGTGTTTTTTGAGTCCAAGACATAGGTTATTGTTTGATCTGGTTGCATTCCCTTGGAAATATCAAGTTCATAATCTGGGATAACTCCTAGATCCATCCCTGTCACTGGAGGCCCAAATGGCCATGGAGGGCTTTGGCTGGTTCATCAGACATAGCCTCTCCTGACAGGATAGTCTGGCCATAGGAGTACAGGCACTAGTAAACTTAAGGCTGAATTACTGCAGTGTACTCTATCTGCAGCTACCCATAAAGCTGGTCCAGAAGCTGGAATTAGTGTAGAATGCATCAGCTTAGCTGTTGTCAGGAGTTTACCCTTTTCAGCATGGAGGTCCTTTGCTGAGGTAACTGCACTGTATCTATTTGCTACCAGGCCATATTTAAAATTTGGGTACTATTGTATACTATTGTATAAAGCCCTAAACAGCTCTGTACCACAATAGCCCAGAGAGTGCCTTCTCCTTTTACAGTCTGCTCAGTCACTGAAGTCATCAGGTGGCATAGTCCTGGTGGTTCTGCATGGTCCTGTGCCCTGACTGGAGTATACCCAGAGAATAGCATTCAGTATTTTTTTTCTTTTTCTTTTTTCTTGTACATTGCTGAGGAATTGGTTTAGATGTGAGGCAACACATAAATGTTGTAAATAACTAAATAAAGGACTGTCCTGTGCTTTAAACAGCAATTGCATAGTGCACATTAGCAAACTTGAAAATATGTAAAAAAAAAAAAAAAAAGGAGTAGGTAAACATATAAAAGATGGTGATCTGTGAGGAATGCAGAGCTGACAGATGCAGGGATAAATTCTAGGTATGGGAAGTGCTGAGATGGGTCATGTTCAGCTTGGCTGTTGTCAGGCACTTCCCCTGTTTCAAGGGAGGTACCTGTTTCAGAAAATAGAGTGCTAAAATAATACTTAAATACTTCTTTAAATCCTAGCTAAAAGATACCTTGGACATAACAAAAAAAGAACATCAGGAAACAATCTGCATGTTGGAGAGAAAGTTCCTTGAAGAAAAGGTATAGTGTTTTGGATATAGTAGATGTAATTCTTCAGCATGCTTGATAATGCACAGACAACTTGCTTCAGCCTGTACTGGTTTTCCAGCAATCCACATAGCTTCTAGGAACCATGTTCTATGCTCCTAGAAGCTATGGTCTTGTAGTCTATACACAGATGGCTTTCTTTAGTAACTAGGGTTGAGTGAAATATCACCTCATATAGAAACACTTCTGGTAACCCTGAACCACCTGGATATCTATTGAATACAGTAACAGGAGATATTGTATTGCTCCATATTTGTTGTTACTTCTATCCTGCCTGCCCCCCAATAATAATTAAACAGATAGGTACAGCATTTGAAGGGAAGTTCTGGATATAGGAATTTTTGCTATCTATATTTGCTTTCAGTCTCAGCATTCACATTGTATACTTTTTGTCATCATCTAGAAGGCAGAGAATTAGGAAACACATTTTCCTCAAAAGTACTGCTTTTAAGAGCATTGCTTTATGTCTGACTTAAATGCCAAGATCTTTCTTTTCCTATACTAGTTTCTTGTCTATCTTCTTTTCTTTCAGCAACGCCTAGAAAGAGAAGCAGAGAAGAAGATTATAATGCTGGCAGAAAGAGCACATCATGAAGCCATTGTGTAAGACATACATGATTTTTCTGTTCTTTAATAATGAAGAAGATGCTAAAATATGGTTAATTCTAGGAAATCTACATGGGTGCTTCATTCCTGGTAAATAACTAAGATGCTGGATTCAGAGTAGGCTTAACACACTGATGAGTGCCATCTCCATCAGCTAATTTTGGACCTTTGGTTTAAGGACTATGTTGTGTCTAATATAGGAAGTTTGTGATGTCACCTGCTAAAATGTTTTTGCCCTCATTCAGGCAGTTGGATAATGCTGGAAAAACAGTTTTTACAGAGAATATTCATCTTCATGAGGCTCTTGGATACCATATGAAGGAAACAGAAGAGTTACAAAAAATCAGGCAAAAATTGGAGGAGGACAATGCCTTTCTCTTACAGGATAAGGTTTTTGTTATGGCTTCTTCCTTTTTTTCATTTGTGTATACATAAGTGATCTTGAAATCACATCTGTGCAGATTTATTAAGACTAGTACCTTTCTATAGAAAGAGATATGTAAAAATAGCTGGCATTTGAAGCTGTCTTGGAAAACCAAGGTTCTTATTCTGTTTTGTAAGTGGAAAGGCTTTCTTTTGAGAAGAGCAACTCATATTCACATCTAAAACTCATATTCTTTTGTTTTCATTATTTTGAGATTCTGAAACAAATGGCTTAAAATTAGTTTAATCCCATCTTGTATTATGGAAGTCATAGATTTAAAAAATAAATTGACATTGATTTCAGTTGAACATTCCCTATTTCAGTTGCCGATTGACTAGAAAAAAACTATTATACTGTGACTCCAGAATATAAATACCCACTAGCTTGACATCTTTCTGGAATGAAAAGTTGACCTTGTGTTATTTTTTACCAGATTAGGATGTGTAGAAAAGAAATATATCTGCATGATCTGAACAGGAATGTAGTCTTCAATATGTCTAGTTAAAATTGGCAGATGTACTCAAGACAAATTTTAATTTGCATTTTAGTTAATTAATCTACCGAAAAATCTGTTAAAGCTTGCAATTCTATTCCATTAAATAGTTGCTATTGTATGAAAGCTTTGGATAAGCAGAATACATCGCAAGAATTTTATTCTTTTTTGTTTTTTTAAAGGAGACCAATGACCTATTAGTTCAGGAAAAGGTCATGCAAATTACTCAGCAAAAAGCACAAATCCAGGAGCTGCAAAATCTGGTAAAAAATCTGGAAGCTGCTGTTAATCACATGGCCAGAGAATTTAAAACAGAAGTTGAAAGTACACGACAGAAGGCTTTGGTACAGAACCAGGCAGGTCAGACAGAAATTGAAAAGTTGCAGCAGCTGCTGGAGATGAAGGAGAGAGAGATGAGCAGAGTGAAGAAATTAGCCAGAAACATCTTGGATCAAAGGACTGAGGTGGAGAAATTCTTCTTAGATGCTCTGGAACAGGTGAAGCAGGAGATCATAACCAGCAGGAAGTGCTACAAGCAGGTGGCCCAAGCTGCATACCAAAGGAAAATGATGGCAGCATTTTCAGGGAAAGAGGAATACCCCAAAATCAGAACCTTCAGTGACAATGTGCACAGCACAAATAGTGTGCAAATGGACCTTCTGGAAGCAGAGAAATGGTACATAGTATTGAATTGCAGAATTCTTTGCTCCTAATCAGCCTCACTGCCAGGAATAGCAATTGTGTGAAAAAACATAAAAGTAGCATAGGATGTATGGAGAATGGGAAAAGAAGAGTTTCTGTGTTGTACATGGAGCACAAGACTAGGGAGAATGTGGAGCACAAGACGAGCATTGTCCACTACTTTAAAAAGGGCAGAACATAATTGAGAGCCATAATGAAATCCTTAAATAAAATGTACATGTGTGAACAAAAATATTCCAGGTTACATGTGAAAAAACTTAAGGTCCTAATCAGTAACTAATGTTTAACAGTGGCCTATTTTGAACTGAAAAAAGGCCTAAGAACCACCAATATTGGCTTATTCAATTGTTTGCACAGAAGCTGTGATACAGAAAAGGAGTCTTTAAGGGGACAATCTGGCTGGGGCACCTATAACCCTCTGACCTTGGAGGAACATGGTCATCCTGTGGAAGGCAACACTGCTTCTAGAAAGTCATTTAAAGCCCTTCTCCAAGGTTACCTAGTAACCTAGTAGAAAGTTGAGATATGTTGTAGTAGGGAACAGGCAAAGCTGGGAACCTGATGAAAAGTACTTTGAGGCTGGATTGTCTCCCAGATACCACTTGTGTATCTAGTCCTAATGCATACATGCTTCAGGATCTAAACAAGAATGGCCTTACTGGACATTAAGAAAAGACTTTCATGGATGAAGTAATCATATCTAAAGTTGCATGTACATTGAGGCATTTTGTATTAGGAGTAGTAAAGCCATGATTCCATTGAAGGGTATCTTTACTTTTTGTCCGAGGCACTGATTTTGCCCAACAGTTCCTAGTTCAGAGTTTATAATTCTCAGTGTCTACTTTATTTTCTCTTATACTGATAGCACTCTAACCTCTCTCTCATTCTCTCTCCCTCCATCAATATTTTTCAAGGTATCCTAAATAATTTTGTAGTTGGACTCCAGATAGTACTGTTTATTATAGGGCATTGTGCAGCTATTTTGTTCCTTAAAGGATGATTGATGGTAAGAAAAGAAAAAGGAAGCAGTGAAAAAACATGAAAAACACTAGATGGCAACTTTGTTTATACTCTTTGTAAAATTCTTTGAATTAGACAGGGCAATGGCACAATAAAGGACTCATATGGAATTGCCCCAAGTCCTCTGTTATAATAGGAAACTGAATACAGTATTCCGATAATAATGCATTCTAATGTTTTCTAACAGGTAATTCAGAGTCTGTTCAAATGTAGAGCACTCATTTGTTCATTAATTGTAATATCAGTGGAGGGTAATCTTTCACTCAAGTCATATAAACAAGTGAAATCTGTAAAATCATTTTTCTCTGAATTTACTAATAGCTTTTTTTCTGTGTCCAGATTTATTCTGTAGGCTTTAAATTTCCTTAATATATTATGACTTTTTTGTAGGACAAATATTCAAAAGGGGAAAGTGGACATTTCTGAGTTGACCTGGGAGCAGAAAGAAAGTGTGCTGCGGTTACTCTTTGCAAAAATGAATGGCCTGAAACAACGGTAAAGTTCTGTTTATTGCAGTGAGCAAGAGCTATAGAAATCTTCGGGCCCATCCAGTTAGTAGATTCAATTCAGTGCTTGACTATTAAGCTGTAAGTGTGAGAAATGGGATGAAATTGCCCTGTTTGTACATGCTGACAACTCATCAGTTTAAAAACCAATGGGTTGTCATGTACAAGTGGGGGTATGCTGCCAGTCTTTTCCACTTTAGTATACATTCCACAATCAGTTCCTTTGTAGTTTGGATAGCATGATGTGTAAACCCAGAGTGCTGGTTTCTTCAGGAGTCAAACAATCTGGTAGTTGTCCCAGCAACAAAGGAACTGATCACTGGTTGTGTGGTAAGGCATGTTATTACATACAAATTATGTATCTTCAGAAATGGTGGTACTTGTGAGTTCAGTGTGACTACTACACTATAGACAATTATACCTAAGGCGGCAGTGTGAACTGGCAGAAAATCAGCAGATGAAATTGCATTAATTGTGGACTGAATGTGGTTTGTGTCTTCTGGAATGTGGGTGGAATCAAATCAAATGTGAATTGGATGCACTTTTATATTTAGGAGGGAGGATTTGAAACAGGGTACCTAAATGTAAAGAGAGGAAAGGGTTTCTTTCTTGTTTGCTTTCTTTTAAATCTCTTGGAACAATGAAACTTTATAAGAATGGGAAAAGTCATAAACAGATGCTACTGAGCATTTCTCTTGTATTTTGATTCATAGGAGATACAGTAAAGCTCTGGTTCCTATAACACCATCCAGTTTTAATTTTGAAGAAGCAAAGAAATCTGGGTAAGAAAGATCTAGATTAAGATCACTGTCACTGTTTTTCTAGCAATATTTGAGAATTTTGCAAACCAAGCACTGATCACTAGTGTCAGCACTGAACATTTCTGTTTTCCTCACACAGCACTGACGGTACTATTCCCATCTATGCTTTCATCACTCAGCAAGCACCACTGTCTGAGTCATCTTCTCATAGAAGAACATCAGTCCTTCCTGATATTCAGGTTATACCACCACAGCCAGAGTAAGCTGGTTGTTAAGTCATGAAATAACTGAAGTCCTGAAGTCTTTGGCTTTTTACCCTTCTTCCTGAGCTTCAGGTCTATAATGCTACAGCTGTGAAATCACAGCACTGTTTCTATGCATAACAGCTTATTATTTCAATTCTTAGTTTCAGAAGACTTGTAATATAACTAATTTTTAAAAAGAAAAAATTCGTCAATTTTCTTTAAAAAAAATTGAAGATTACTCTTTGGTTATAGACACCTTAATTTTTCACTTTAAAGAGGACTGTGCTTGGTTTTTCAGAAGATTGTATACAGTGGGACCCCTGTATCCGTGGAGATAGGTTCCAAGCTGCTCAACAGATATCTGAAGCTGCAGATAGTAGCGAACACTATATACTGTTGAACCTTGACTTTTGCGGGTTTAACCTTCATGGATTTGATTATTTGTGAGTTTGGCATCACTAATTAAATGGGATTTATTTTCTTTTGGAGTTTTGTGGCCTACTGTGCTACAGATGGATGCAGGTGGAGGAGGGGTAGGTGAGAAGAGACCCAGAGACCTGTGTGGGGAACGCTCCCTGGCTGCCGACTGGGTGGATACCAGACTTGGGATAAGGTGAGCAGCTGAATGCAAAGCTTATGACATGATACAGAATGAGCTCCCCTGGAGCAGGCCACACTCCAGCATGTTAGGGCTTGGTTTTGGACTGTGGTCATCCATGGTTAAGTGGAACTGTGCTAACTGGAACAGCAGATGCAGGGGTTTCACTGTATTCTGAATTTTTTAAAAAATCTAAGGAAAATATGTTCAAAGTTTATAAAAGTATTTTGAAAGCATTGTGTTTTCTTGAAGTAAATGGTAGAGTAAGGATGAGATTGAGCAGCCTCACGAGAATGAGAATGTCTCTCATTCAGAGACAATGCTAAAACATGACTTTGTGCTTTTTGACAGTTCAGCATTTTCCAAGGCTTGTATCCTCCCCATCAATGTGTGTAACTGTGGCCTGTCATTACATTTAAACCAGAGATCATGTTAGGATCAAAACAACCTGACTCCAAACCACGGGTTTTATGCATAACAGGAATTGGTATTAAATTCTCTAGTTTAAAAGAACAAGCCACATTTAAGGGAAAACAGAAGATTCTGAATGTCTTTTCCCTGCTGTAAGATAAGGAAAAGTACACGAACCAAGAAATTTAGGCTCATATCTGATCATGACTAAAATTTAACTTGTTGAAATCAACGGGATTAGGGGAATTAATTAGGACTGTTATCCTAAAGAAAATCAGTACACTTTGCATTTAATAGGAATTTATTCATGATTAACAATGTGAGGCCTTCTAGTATACAGATGAATAACCAATTTGGTTAATGATGATTATATTTAAGCACCTGCTCATTACAAAAGGCAGAATGTCAAATGAGTCCAGTTTGTTTGATTAGACAACAAAATTTAACATATTTTTCGAGTGCAAGAAAACATCATGTGAGTTTTAAACTAAAAAGCACTGTAAATCCCAAAAGTAGTATCACTTTATCTTTCATCCTGCATCATACCCATGGCTGCACCCTCAATAGCTAATCTGTGCATGCCACCTTCTCCTGTGTAATCCAATAATTCAATGTCAAGAGTTGTATGTGCCCTCTGTATATAAGATGACAAACTTTCTTACAAGTGTTAGAGTGTGCACTATCCCAGTTAAAGTGATGATGATAAAAACAATTACCCATTTAAATATATTGTTTCTGCTTTTCCAATGCCACATTGATCTTGCTACAGTCAGAAACAAAGATCTTACACATTCTGCTTCCAAAACTAGTTAGTGCATGAATAGAATGTAGGCACATTTCTGTGAAAGGTAGAAGTTCTGTTCATGTCAAAATGAAGTTATCATACTGTTTGTATACATGATAGAAATAATATTCCAAATGAAGGTGAGATTTCACTGACATGAGCTTGAAACAGCTATTTCCTGTGTGAAATTCTTGAAAACTACTGATTAGAGTTAAGAGCCAGTCAGCTTTGCTTCCCCAAACTGGACTGTCCAGTCCCATTGTGAGACCTTTTCTGAGATGTGCAGGTTTTGGGGGTTTTTTTTTTTTGAGAGAAAAAGAGTTGCAACAGAGCCCTACAGCAAGGGGATTTGTCAGCTGTGAATAGATCAAAAGCAGCAACTGTAGTACTTGGTTCTTAAAAACTAAAATTCCATGGAAAACAGAGTTTGGACTCTCAACAGTGTTGCATGGATGGGAGAGAAGAAGCCAATGCCTGGTTATTGACATAGTATTTCTTCTGCAAGAAAAAAGTAACAGTTATCCAATATATTGCTGGGAACTTCCAATTTTGTGTTAACAGAAATTGCCACTTTGATTTGTAATAAAGGTCTTACAGCAATGGCAGCAGGGAACATCCAAAATTAGCATATATTGTAGTAGGCAAAGAATGCTTTCAAAAAGCAAGTATGACAAGCTGCTTTAGTTCCCCATGGTTGGCATAACTACAGCAGGCTTGGCAACTGTCGCATCTTCCTCTTTCCACTGAGAAGTAATTGTCTTCAGCTGTGTATAGAATTGAATCCCCTGAAAGAAACAGAGTTAAATACTAAGCCAGATATTCATGCCAGTAAATGCTGCAGCATCAATGCACTGTTTTAAAAACATAACACAAATCAAGTCTACCATTGCAATGTTTGTGAATACTCTTTTTTTCTTTCTGTGAGAAATACCCATGCTGTTATGTCCACCCTTCCCAGAACAATCTCATTCAAGTTTTTAAAAATTTCCTTCTGTATCTCCTACAACAGATGCTCACAGTACAGTAACCATTGTTTTAAACAATTTAATGAATTACCTGTTTGCCATAGAAATTGGTGTCTCCTCTGAAGGACCCACGAGATCCAGTGAAGGAGAACATTGGCAGAGGCACTGGAATTGGAACATTCACACCAATCTAAACCAAAACCCAGTCATTATTAGCATCACATACTGAGCCATATACACAAATAGAAATCAGCAGTCAAATAAGTAACAACATTTATATGGGGGAGAGCATTGAAAAGAGCTGGGGTAGATTCTGGGTGACTTAATATCTCAGCCAGAGAACTTTAGCTATTGAGTGGTGTAAAAATACAGCAAATTAAAAACAATAAATACAATAATTGGGAGTTACTGAGCTATTTGTGCTTTTGTTACATGCAGGTCAATTAGATATGACATTAAAATATGTATTAGAATCTAATGTACTAGCAGCTTCTGGAGAAGGGGTGATAATTACTGGTATCGCAGCAGGTAGGTAGTTTATCCATCCCCCTACTGCAGGCTTGATGAAAATCCTCCGAAGTTATTATATGTACTGGAAGGAAACGGTGTGGCAGACCAATCCTAGGAGATTGGGAGAAATAGTTCAAGGGGAAGGATCACCTTTTCCTATGCCTTGTCAGTCTTGCACTGACAGTGCAAAAGGTGTATTTATGAGCAGCGGGGGGGGGGGATGTTTTCTTGTTTTGAGAGCAGTAAGGGAAAAAGAATTTCCTCTCCCTGATTTCAATGGGAGGGAAATAAAGTATACCAGTTCCAAGACTGATATAGGTTCTTCCTCCCCCCATCCTCACACACACATTCTAAGGAAATGTCAGGCAAATGGGAAGAGCAAAGTCCCTCCTGGCATGCCTCAACTTTTGCCTTCCAACATTGGAATAGCATTAGCAGCAGACCTTTCTGCAGCCTCACAGAAGAAGCTTATGAGATTGGCTCTTCTCCATGGGAAGCCTTTTCTCTATCTCCTCAGAAATAAAGATCCAAAATAATTCCTGTGATCTTTGAAACAAGCACTAAGGGCTATATATTACAGTTTCTCCTCCTGCTGGTGTGATCCTGACAATTTGTAACAAATATGAATATTATATGAAAAATTGTATTTAATATCATGCTTAAACCTTTGACCATCACTCCTTATCAGTAAACAACAAATGGCTTTCCAATATTAAAGAGGCAGCATGGTTCCAATAGTAGTACACTGTTTGAATTAAGAAAATCTGCTCAACACAAATCTTAATATTGAAGCCTGAAATAGACTATTACAGGATGGCTGTCAGCTTTAAAATGTAAAGCCACTTTATACTGTGCCAGAATATTTGTTATCTAGCCCAGTACTGTCTACTCTAACTGGCAGTAGTTCTAAAACTACTTAAAATTTTGTCAACTGGGCATGTCAGAGATTAAACCATCTACATTACACAGTGCTCTGCAATTACAACCAGGACTTTTAAGGGCTAAAGTGGTACTTTGAGCTGTTTATCAGAAATATTATCTTTACATACTTGCCCAACATCCACTAAATGGGAGAATTTACGAGCAGTGGCGCCATTAGTGGTGAAGATTGCTGTTCCATTCCCATAGGGATTCTTATTTATTATTTCAATTGCTTCATCCAGACTGTCTGCTTCCAGAACCACTAGAACTGGTCCAAAGATTTCTTCCTTATAGCAGGTCATGTTTGGCTATGAAGAAAGGAATCAATTAAATTGCAGTGCACATTTATTTCTAATCCAGGAACATTCCTTTATTAGGCATTGCTTTGAGTGCTCCTCTATTCCTTTTGATACAATAGCTATAACTAACTCTAGGCTACTAGCATTGTTCTTTCCAATAGTGAAAGAATGCCACCAGCATTGAGGTAAAAATGGAATAACTGAGTAAGTGAAGATAGGTAATAGCATGCTTGGCGGAATCTAGCAGCTTGCAGATATATGAAAAAAGGCTTGAAACATAAAAACAAAGGATCAAATATAACTCAAAATGCCTATTGAGGACTGAGCATGTTCAGTAGTTATGAAGTATACAATAACAATTGGAAAAGTAAAACATGGGGTAGTAACGCTTTGCTTGCAGAGAATGACTGGCAAAAGTCTTAACAGGAATACCTCTTATTAGGAGACAAGAATATTTTGCTATATTTTGTTGCAAATCCCACTTATATTTAAATATTCATATTATACCTGGTGCTACAACAATGAATATGAGAAACCTGATACAGATCCAAGGAGGGATATGAAGTTCACCAGGTTGCTTTAAACAAGTCATTGCCTCTCTGTCTTGACTGACATGGGCAGTATGCAGCCTGTTTCTATTCATGTTTTACTTAGAGATAAGCCCCAGTAAGTTCAGTAGTGCTTACTTCCATGTATACGTGTACAAGACTGCAGCTTCATATACCATTCTGAGTCCTTTGAGCAATCACTAAACAAAAAACAACAGAAACAAGGCTGCCTTTTCAATTCCATCTACTTCTACTCCAGTCTTGGTAGCATAAAATCACTAATTGCCTTGGCTTGATCAGGAAGACAGTGCAGTCTAGGGTTTAATTGCTTGCAGTTTTCATTTCATTTCTTCTTTCCCCTGCCATTTTCCATTAGTGGAGTATGGCATCTTGGAGCAGGTAACTTCTATCAGCTATAGAGGTAAGCATATGGAATCATCTTTGTCCTACTGAAGTTATTCCCGTGCCACCCACCACCATCACTGCAGTTCTGAAAAGGGTAAAGCAAGCAGTGAAATCTGCTCTGCACTTTTCCTCATGTTGAGCATTCGTACATTCATTGTGCATAAGCTATTTTCTTCTTTCTCCTTTCTGCCTTTATCTAAATCTAGCCAAGGAAATTGAGACTATGGCTTTGAGTGTAACAAGAGACCAGGCAAAGACCAATGCAATATCTGCTTCCCAGAGCTTCCCAGAATGCTGTCAGGAAGGAAGGGAGCAGAGATTGCAAAATGGTGATCTCTACAATAGTCCCAAAGATACACGATTAACTAAAATTCTTAACTGTTTGCATGGCAGGCATGCTCAAAACATTCCAAAATCCAAAATTACAAACTTGTTTACCAACAAGTTCATTTATCATATTTTATTCAGGGGAAATGGGCATGTTGTGAGTGGAGCCGCCTGGTGCCGGAGGTCAGACTAGATGGCCCAGGAGACCCCTTCTGACTCGCTCTGTTTCTATGTTTCTATGAAATACCCCCAATACATGTCTGCTTTCATCATTCTTTAGCCTTCCTTCCCTTCTCATGTATCCATTAAACACCATTCTTAAATTTCACTGCTTTGTTCACAATAATTTCTAAAGTAAGGCACTTCTTTCATCATATCAGCCAGGCATCAAGGACATTTCCAAAATTTCAGTATACATACAGGATTGTAGACTGACACTGGGCTCTTTAGGATAAGGGCAGGCCTTTATCTTGGAATATGTGGGACTTCTCCCTTCCTTAGCAAAAAATGCTTCATTATTTAGCACCCAGTGATCAGCACTTCATCTTACCTTAACTTTTGCAAGGATAGTCGGTCCAACAAAATTGCCACTTTCAAAACCTTTCACTCTGATCTTTCGTCCATCTAGGAGAACAGTAGCCCCTTCCTTTATTCCACTGTCAATCAGTTGACAGACACGATCCTTGGCCTGCGGACTGATAAGGGGCCCTAGATCTGCTCCAGGCTGGTCTCCTATGACAGCATACAAAATTATTAAAGCCTAAACACTATTTTTGGCATAAAAAGGAAGATTCAAGAGGAAAGAACACTCTCTGCCAAAGGAACAAGAGCCACCGATTGCTGTTCAAGCAAGAATACCAGCAAAGGAAGATCAGCCTGGCCTGACCTGGATATAAATGGCTGCTTACATCTCATCAGTTCATTCTAATCTTGAACTGAAATCTCTCTCCAGCTTTTTTCAATTCATCCATCATTCCCTTGTGTATCTTTTCAAATTTGAAACCTGATGGCAGACTCTTGCCTTTTATTGATATAAACCATTTTGTAAGCTAATACTTGCACAAAAAATGGAATAAATATATGGTAAGTATAGTAAACAAAGTGTATTACAACAAATGCTGATACACATCCATACTACTGTACAAGGGTAGATTGGATTATTCCAAATCCATCAATACCTGCATTAACTCGCAGATTCTTTGCTCTCTCCACCAGTTCTGGCAGCCATTTCTGAGCCTCCCCCACCAGGACTGCTGTAGATAATGCCATGCAACGTTGCCCAGCTGCACCAAAAGCCGCTCCAACCAGTTGATTAAGGGTGTTCTCTTTATTGGCATCAGGCATCACCACTCCATGGTTCTTTGCTCCCTAAAAACAACAACAAAAAGCACCATCCAGTTTCTCAACACTTAATAGGCCTAACTATCCCCAGCTTTTCAGAAAAATAATCCACATTTCCAATGTTTTTTTCCCCCTGGAATAGGATATATTTTGGAATTTGACTAAAGAACTTTTTTGAAATGAGGCAAGGATAGAATTTTCCTGTTGGTTAGATTGCCTATTGGACCTAGAAGTGTTCGACTTTTCCCTGGAATAGATGAACTAAGATCCAGAAAGACTTGTGGGCTCACTGAAGATACGGACACACATCCCTTATGTCTTGTGGAACTCTGTGCAAGCAGAGTTGCCACTGGAAAGAGCAAGGTGAAGCAACGCTGTGTACCATTATCATCATACATAATAGCCTGATCTCTGCCATAATTGATAACTGCTTTAAATGACATAACAAACATAGCCCTCTTGCAGGGCCTTATTTCAGACTACAGTTCTCTGTTCTGCGGATGACTTTGTAATTATGCACCCTCTTTTCTTGGAAATTCTGCTTGTGGCACATTATAATTTGGAGAATCCCATTTTATCTCAAGGGGTTTGATTTCAGGACAAAGGCAGAATACACATATTTGCAGCAGAGATACAAATTTCTCTTCATTAGCTCCTAATAAATGATACTAGGAATTTGAAATCTTGTCCAACAAAGTTGAACAATAATGTGACAACAACTAAGGACCTGGCGATATTCTAGCAATATTCTCAAAGCTTGACTCTTTCAACCAGTTTTAAGGATTACAGTCCTTGAAATAAAGTGGTTTTGTGAACAATACAAAGCCAGAATTAAAAGTCAGAAAAAGTATTTAAGCCTGACAGAGAAGTGTGAATTGTATATGTATGTTATATACATAGCAGTTATATGTAAAAATAAGATTTCCAAGTCTGTCATTTCAATGAAACATCAACATTTACAATTCAAGACACAATGTCATCTAGATTTGAAAAGCTTTTGAAGGACAACCAATACTGCATGCACTGGATTTTACCATATTGGCTTGCACTCTCTTGCCGTGCTTGGAACCCCTTTCATAGATATATTCTCCAGCCTGATTAGATCCTACAAAGCTGATGGCTTTAATAGCAGGATGATCACAAATAAAATTCACAGCTAAAAAAAAAAGAATAAACACTGTTAATTACATCTTGCCATTAAAAGTCCTTGTTTCTCATGATATAGCAATCAAATTCTTGATAACAAAAAAATTCTTTCTCTCCCCAATTCGCCCTCACTATTGAAAACCTAATCACATTGAACTTTTTTAAAACTAAAAATCCTGTATCCTTTGAATCATCTACTCAGGTTCCCCAAAATCCACACCTTTCCTGGTTTCAGTTCACAACACAAAGCACATGATACACTTTGCAGTGTGTACTTATTGATAAAATGGGGGCTTCACATAGAAAGATAGAGAAGGGACATATTTTGAATTAGTTAACAGGGAGTAGAGCCACCTGATCTCAGCCATATAGCTTGTATTTCCCTGAATTTATTTTTAATTAATTAATTAATTAATTAATTAATTAATTTAGAACATTTCTATGCCACCCCCATTGCAACAAAGCCTCGGGGAGGCTCACAACAAAAACAAAAACATACAAAATCATACAAAAATTATACACTAAAAATATTAAAACCCGGTGCATCTTGGCTTTAAAATTTTTAAAAATCCTACATAATAAATTAACACTTAAAATAAGTTTTAAATAAAAAGGTCTTAGCCTGGCGCCGAAAAACAAATAACAATGGCACCAGGCGGACCTCTCTGGAGAGCGCATTCCATAGGTGAATATAGAATTATAGCTACACCATCAGTCCCATCCCACCAATAAACACTGCAACTTGATATCTGTCTTTCAATTACCTTCATGCTGCCCATGGATGATGTTCAATGTTCCATCAGGGGCACCAGCATCCTGCAACAACTTGGCAAGGAACATGAGAGCTCCTGGCACCCGCTCTGAAGGCTTCATTAAAAAAGTGTTTCCACACACCATGGCCATGGGAAACATCCAAAGAGGAATCATGGCTGGAAAATTGAAAGGTGCAATGCCTGCACATACTCCCAGAGGGAGACGATAGGTATAAGTGTCCATGTCTTTAGTGATGGAAGGAAGAGTCTCGCCCAGGATTAGGGATGTCACACTACAAGCATGCTCAACGACTTCTATAAGGAAAAAAAGGTGTGACTCTGAGTTACTTCTACTCCATTTCTAAATAAATGTTTTGTAGTAGTGTTATGATTTGTCTATTTCTTCTATCACCCACAAATACTTCCTATTCGGCCATCAGCAGCCCCAATATAAGCATACATTAGACGAACAATATTCTACTGTAAGAAGGTGCTGGTTCTCCTTCAATTGAAAGTATTTAAGAGAAAGGTTGGACACCCATCTTACAGGACTACATAGTTGCATCCTACATTGAGTTGGACATTAAGGTATATGACCTCCAATGTCACTCTGAATTCTTAAAAACCAGCAAAATATGAAAAATCAAGGAACATGACTTAAGGCTGAAAGAAAACTGGTTATGTTTGTAATCCATAGGTACAGAGAATGGCTTATAGGAAAGTTACAACACGTCTGAATTCCCGAGACCCCAGAACTCATATTGTTCAGAACATTTCACTCTGTCCTCAATTCATAAAAGTTATTTTCCAAGTATAGCAGGAGTACACCAGGAGCTTACGGAGGCCTCGAAACACATCTCCCTCAGCATCAGCCAGAGTCTTTCCTTGCTCCAAGGTGATCAGTTTAGAAATTTCTTTCTGGAGAAAAAAAAATGAAGAGGACCCATAAAGATGAAAAAAGGGCAACTCAATAAAGGTGAAAAGAAGCCTCATTGAGAATCAGGAGACAGGACACACAGTTCTGCGGAAGGCCAAGCATCGCATTAAGGACTCTGCATGTAAGAGGCCACTTCTTCCCAGCCCTGTCTTGCCTTATGGACATTTCAAATGTTCATCATTAGGATAAACTATAATTTCATTAGCTACCATTAACCCACCCTGTTAAAAAAGTTTTTGGGTCTAAAGCAGAGATGGAGACTATATAGTCTTTCAGCTATTGTTGAACTGCAACTCTAGAGTTGTTAAAAGCAGCAGTCTGACAACATCTGAAGGATCACTCATTCTCCACCAATTGGGCTAAGCTAAATTGGAACAAACAGGTCTCTGACCGTATTTGCAACAGGCCAGAATCCTCTCCTCCCTGCTACTTATATTTAAGAGTAAATATTCTCCTTTACCCCAGTGCCACACCATAGCCAGCTAATTCTAACAACCTGTGTCAACATGAGGGAAAATCCAGACAAGGAAAGGACTGACCTTTAGAAGCAAGGCAAATTCTATTCTTTATCTTCATTTAAAAATATTTATCAGAAACCATTTTTTTTTGAAATATTAGCTGACAAATAAATACAATGAAAACCCTCCTACATATTTCTAGGCAGGCTACCATGTGTATATGGGACAATATAAAATGCTTCCAGAATTGGTGAGCATGATCTAAAGTGTGAAGTGGCTTGTTTAGTTCACTTTGTGGTGAAGGCTACTGTAATTCTCATTTTGGACAAAACGATCCAAGGAGAGGTAATAGTTCCTCACCAGATTGTCTTTGATAAGCTGTTGGTATCGCAGAAAGATTTGTTGTCGACTCAGAATGGATGTCTGAGACCAGTTTGGTAAAGATTTTTTGCATGAAGCCACTGCTGCTTCCATTTCACTCTGCGTGGCTTTTGGGACACGCCCAACCACTTCATTTGTGGCCTGTTAAAGCAATAATATTAATTGTCAGTATAAACAAAGAACAATTCTAACCACCTGGGGCAGTCATCCAAGAGCAGTCTGAATAGACTGGAAATCCCCCTTTGCCAGCAAAGAAGGCATGCACTTGAGGCCCCTAATACACCTGCAAAAAGATCTACAGGCATAAATATTTCACTAGCAGGCACTGAATCAGGATGTTGAAGGATTAAGGAGATGATGGAACAGAGGCAACTTTAGATCCAGGAAGTCCAATGCCACTCCACTTCTTCAGAAGGCCCCAGAACTGGGCTCAGTGTCTATGCCAGCCTCAAATGCTTCCCACTGGAAGCAAGGGAAGGGAAAATGAGGAAAAGCACCAGCAAAGGAACAAAAATAAGTTAAATCTACCACTGTCTGCCCTGGTCAGCCACAAAGGCCTTGGAAGTTGTTGTTTAGTCACAAAGTTTTGCCCAACCCATCACTACCCCATGGACAACATTCCTCCAGGCTCTCCTGTCCTCCACCATCCCTCAGAGTCCCCCCAAGCCCACACCCACTGCCCCAGTGACTCCATCTAGTCACTTCAACCTCTGCTGTCCCCTTCTTTTGCCATCAATTGTTCCCAGCATCAGGGTCTTCTCCAGTGAGCTGTTCCTTCTCATTCAATGGCCAAAGTATTTGAGTTTCATCTTCAGTATCTGGCCTTCTAAAGAGCAGTCAGGGTTGATCTCCTCTAGGACTGACTGGTTTGATTGCCCTGCACTCCAAGGGACTTGCAGGAGTCTTCTCCAGCACCACAATTCAAAGGCCTCAGTTCTTCAGTGCTCAGCCTTCCTTACGGTCCAACTTTTGCAGCCATACATTACAACTGGGAAAATCATAGCTTTGACTATACAAACTTTTGTCAGCAGGGTGATGTCTCTGCTTTTCAGTATGTTGTCTAGATTTGCCATAGCTTTCCTCCCAAGGAGCAAGCGTCTTTTAATTTCTTGGCTGCAGTCCCCGTCTGCAGTGATCTTGGAGCCCAGGAAAATAAAATCTGTCACTACCTCCATTTCTTCCCCTTCTATTTGCCAGGAAGTGCTAGGACTGGATGCCATAATCTTAGTTTCTTAATGTTGAGTTTCAAGCCAACTTTTGCTCTCTCCTCTTTCACCTACATCAAGAGGCTCTTTAGTTTCTTTTCACTTTCTGCCATTAGAGTGGTATCATCTGTGCATCTGAGGTTGTTAATATTTCTCCCAGCAATCTTAATTCCAACTTGTGATTCATCTAGCCCCGCCTTTTGCATGATGTGCTCTGCATATAAGTTAAGTAGGGAGGGCGACAGTATACAGCCTTACCAAACTCCTTTCTCAATTTTGAACCAATCAGTGGTTCTGTGCCCAGTTCTCACTGTTGCTTCTTGACCCGCATATAGATTTCTCAAGAGACAAATAAGATGGTCTGGTACTCCCATCTCTTTAAGAACTTGCCACAATTTGTTGTGATTCACACAATCAAAGGCTTTAGCATAGTCAATGAAGCAGAAATAGATGTTTTTCTGGAACTCCCTAGCTTTCTCCATGATCCAGTGTATGCTGGCAATTTGATCTCCAGTTCCTCTGCCTCTTCAAAACCCTGCCTGTACTTCTGGTAGTTCTCGGTCCACATACTGCTGAAGCCTAGCTTGTAGGATTTTGAGCATAACTTTGCTAGCATATGAAATGAGCGCAATTGTCTGAACATTCTTTGGCATTGCCCTTCTTTGGAATTGGAATGTAAACTGACCTTTTCCAATCCTGTGGCCACTGCTGAGTTTCCCAATTTTGCTGGCATATTGAATGAAGCACTTTACTGCAGCATCTTTTAGGATTTTGAATAGCTCAGCTGGAATACTGTCTCCTCCACTAGCTTTGTTGCTGCTAAGACTTCCTAAGGCCCATTTGACTTCACACTCCTGGATGTTTGGCTCAAAGTCAGCGACCACCCATTGTGGTTATCAGGGACCTTAAGATCTTGTATAATTCCAAACCATTATTCCCTAGTAGCCAGTTGTGAAATCCAGTCCTACTATCATAATTCCAAGTAAGGATGTATAATACTAGAGCTTTAAAACTGTTAGCTGTGTTTATGCAAAATAAGAAAATGTTGATACTTTAATAACCTAACTGCTGAAGAGGTGGCTTCTTTTTGTCAAAAGCCAATTTTATAATTCAAGCAAACATTCAAGTACGTTTATGCTTGTTTCACATAATGTGTATGGCTTCTTTGTTCAACTGTATTGCTCAGCACTCAGTCAGATAAGAACATATTATATTTTCTGAAGGGTTCATGCAAAGTGAAGTCTGTCTTTAAAAGATGCTCTTAAAAGGGTGCAGCTTTCCATGTGACATACTAATGGACCCTGTGGTCATCCAATGAGGTTGCCTTGTACGTAATTCAAGACAGACAAAAAGTATTTCTTCATGCAATATATAATACAACAGAATTAGCTACCACAAAATGAAGTTATGGCTGCCAACTTGGACAACCTTAAAGAGGATTAGGCAAAATTATAGAGAAGGCCATCAATGGCTAATTTACTGTACACTACCTCCTTTTTCAGAGGCAGTATTTATTTATTAAAAGCTTTTGTATGCCGTCCTATTATACAAGATCTGAGGACAGCTTACAATTTTTAAAGGACAAGTAAAACAATTTCAATAACAAAACAGAACAAAACAATAAACCAAACAGCGACTAAACTAAAAAACTATTAGAGTTTAAAATACTGTTTAAATAGAACGGTTTTGGCCTGGTGCCGAAAAGAGTATAAACTTGGCGCCAGGCATACCTCTCTGGGGAGTACATTCCAGAGTATGTATGAACAGAGTATGCCTATGAACAGTTGCTGATGGAAATGGGATTGTGCAATTTTATTCATGTTTTATTTGTGGGCTTCCTACATGGAGCTGGTTGAGCACTGTATGAATAGAATGTTGAATTAGACAGACAAGCAGACTTAATTTCTTAAGTTTCTTTTCTTAAAGCATTGTAATGACAGTGTAAATTGTCCAAGAGAAGGGTCGAACAATGTATAGAGAATGCAGAGGTATCCATATTCAAGCTAAAAACAGTATTTTTGAACTAGAGGCTGCTTGGAAATACCGTTTTGAGTGCTACAATGGGACTCCCTTACACATGACACAAATGTATTTTGTTTCTTCCTGCCCTAATTTTAATTGCACAATCCAGAAAACAGGCAGATCAAAGAAATGAACAAAATAAACTTTTTTCTTTTTCAAGAACCAGATAAACACAAAAAAGAAAAACAACTTTACTTACTGGGTTGTGGATATCAATCCATTCATTACTATTGGACTCAACGAACTTGCCATCAATGAACAGTTTGGTTGTTGGCTGTACAATACAAAGAACTGGTTAGTGCCATAGCTTACCTGAGTGCCATACTACCAACTAGATCAGATTCTTTCACATGTGTAATAGAATCAATTATATTCTATTTTTCACTTGCCTTCACTTCACTTCTTTTCACAGGAGCAGCAGTCATTTATTCATTTATGCAGATTAAAGTTAATGAATGCTCCAGAGTATGTCAGTTGATGTTTAACATCTGGGTACTTGCATGGTGTAACACTGCTTAGCACAGTGTATGTACAGACATTCTACCCAGTATTTGGCAGGATATGGTATGGAATCACTAAGAAAGTAATCGTAGCACGGAGTCTGGTAAGGTGCAGTGAATTTACAGGACAGGCTGAATGACAAGGTATTTAGCAAGTGTTCTTGCCCAATGTGCATCAACACTTGATCATGCGTCCAGGTCCAGTTTTAGCAACACCACCCAAGCAAATACTACAAGACTAAGCAACCCAGCAATCAGGAACTTAGATATTCATACACCACAGGCAGAAAGTTGCTGCCAAACGAACATGGCAAAACAGGTAAGTACAGTGGTACCTTGGCTCATGAATGCCTCAGTTCACGACCAAATCAGGTCGTGAATAGAAATTTCAGAAAAATTTTGCCTCGGTTTGTAAACTCCACACTGGGTGACAACCACGATCGTGGCCATGTTGCCACATGAACACAATCATGATCACGGCCATCTTCCCTGCATGAGCGTGACAAATCATCTTGCAACAAATCATCTCGATCCTTGTTTGGTTGTTTGAAACCAGTGTTGACCGTATCCAAGCATCTTCTCCCATCTTTCATTTGATTTTCTTCATTGCAGCCAGCACCTTTTGTAATATTTGTTTAAACCCTGTAAGAGCCCTTGAGTTCAGGTGCACAGCAGTTCTAGCCACTGGAGGACAAGGTACCACTTTGCTGAGGAAAACACTCAGTCCCAAGATACCATTTTGCTGAAAACACTTCAGTTTTGTGACAAGTTCATTTGTTCTAAGACCATTGGCTCTTGCTCCTCAACTGAAATCACTCTAAGTCACAGAACTTGGCTTTCTGTCCAAGCCTTGTCAGTCCTCTTTTCTGAGAGCATTATTCTGGCTGGTAGGTCTTCACTGATACCTTTCTCAAGGCTTCCTTTTCCTTGTAACCTCAGGAGTTTTCCCATATCTTGGCATCATCTTCAGGAAAGACCCAACAGATTTCCAGGAGAGGTCTCTTTCAGCTCTATTCTATTTTCTAATGGTCTGCGCTCTCCAAATTGTAGCCTCCACACCCGTATCCTTTTTCCTATCATGTGTTTGTACAAATGTGCTTAGTGATTTAACCTATTTTTAAAACAGCTTTGGGCAAAAAGCCCAGTCATCTTAGTGCAGACTTGCCCTGGTGGTTCAGTGGGAAGGACTACAAGCAAGACTTCCTTCGATCTCAAAGGAAGAGCTTCCCTCCAAGGAAGATCTTCATTACCATTGTGATCAAGCTAAAAGCTCCAGGGAAATTGGCTTGACACGCAGTATGCTCTGGGTGTCTATTCTATGCAATAAGCATCTGAAAGAGGATACTGGAAAGTGCAGATAGTACACAAGACAATGGAAACTGGGGTGAGTGTATGTTGGAAATAGGTAGCCTGACTCCTGCCTTCCACCAAGACTGGTCCTTGCAAACAGTTATTTTGGTCACGGTGATTGTCTGCAAGGGCTAGTCTTAGGATAGTCCTTAGTATCAGTGATGCTTCCCTGTTCCTGCAGTTACATGCCTCAGTAGTGTAAGGACCTGATTTACCCAGCTCCAATCTATGCAACTTCAGAACCATAGTCCAACCGATGCTATCCAGATGCTCCACACATGACCAAGACCTAATCTTCTGCATACTGCAACCCTCACACTAGCATCCAAGCAGGTCTTGAGCTAATTTTTGCACTACTTGAATATGATGCGTGGATATTGTGCACTACTTGCCACAGGAAGTAGTGATGAACACCAATTTGGATGCCTTTAGAAGGGAACTAGACAAATTCATGGAAGAAGAGGCTATCGACCTCTATTAGCCTTGCTGGCTATGTGCCACCTCTGTTATCAGAAAAAGCATGCCTACACTAGTTGCTGAGGAACTTGGGCAGGTGGAGCTCTTGTACCTATTCTGCTTAGTGGATCCTGTGGACAGCTGGTTGGCAGCATATGAATGCAATGCTGACTGATCCAGCATGGCTTTTCTTATTATGTTCAAGACCATTCTAGAGATTACATAACACCTCCTGTCAACCAACGAATTCTCAAGAATAATTCATAATTCTGCTATAGTCAAAGTCTGGGCACGTTTGTGTTGTGTACACATGTCTTACTGGATCACTTCTCCCAAGAAATACCAAGCAAAAAGTTCAAAAGGCCCTTAGATAGATGTACACATGTATAAACACTCAAGAGTACCATGTGTCTGGAGAGAACATTTTGTAACAGGCATAAAACCGTTGTAAAATGTCCCAAGACGTCTATGAAGGGACGGTATAAAAAAGTTTTAAAATAAATAAATGAATAAAAGTAGTTATACCCATTGCTTTATTTAAAAAGAAAGAAAGAACTTTGGGAACTCTTCTTGCACCTGCTGACTGGAGTAAGGATATGGAAATCCCTTTCTGCTCCAATGCAGGATTATTCAAACTACACTGGTGCTTCCTAGCCTCTACTGTTGGATGGTGCAGGCAGGCCCTGGTCTGCATACAGCACCCTTTTCTGGAACTGACCTGGGTGTCATTTCCTCCTTTCCAAAAGCTTAGCCAAGTAATGCACAATTCAGAAAATGGGTTTCATAAAAGTTTATTTGCTTTCTCTTGAGGTAATTTATTTGAATAGCAGAATACTCACCACTGAAGATGATGAAAAGGATGAGGAATGCCAGCCGAGATTTACCTTTCTAGGGATCTACAAGACAGGAAAGCAGAAAGACAACTTATCACCAACTATAGCATTGGCCTAAGGCCAGGGCAGGCGATCTTTTTGGTCCCATAGATGCATTTGTAATGCTTGGAAGCACATTTGTCCTTCCAGCAGTTCCTCTTTTCTTGAACACCTTCAAGATCTCCACTTTTCTTGATCCCCCCTTCCAAAATACCTTCTTCATCTCTTTTATCCTTTCCAGAATATCCATTTTTCCTCACTCTCTCCTTCCAGGATATTTACTTTTCTCTAACTCCTCTTTCTCTTCCCCTGCTTGGGATTTCTTCCTCTACCACCTCCCTTTAAATCCTCATTGCTCCCCACCAATAACATCTGCCAATCTTAGCAGTGAGGAAGCAGAAAGCTGGTAGGGCAGCAGACTTATCTTCCTAACTACTGAAGACAGCAGGAGGTAGACCCTACAGTGGAGGTGAATGGGAACGAGCAAGAGGTGAGGAGGTGACAAATGAGAAGATCTGGCAGGCACATGGGAATTCTAGGCATTTGTGGACATTGGGTTGCTCTCCACTATTCTAGAGACTCTGAGAGCAACCCTAAGTTAATACAGAAGAGGTCTTTCCCAAACCCTTGCACTGATGCTTAATAACAATCAGTTGACATGGAGCTATATAATGTCATAAACTCTCAGTCTAAAGAAGTCTTAAGATTTTTAATTTAATATTTATATTTTTAATTTATATTATAATTATTTTAACTTAGTGATGTGAGCCGCCCCGAGGCTTCGGCGAATGGGGCGACATAAAAATGTTTTAATAAAAAATAAATTAGGGAGAGACAATGGAAAATTTGAGCAACCTCACATAAAGTATGGTACTTCACTCCCACTTTAGTTTTAAACAATTGACATTTCTCTGTACTGTATTTTCTCTATATTAGAAGGTAATATGGAGAGGCTTTAAAAATGTATTGTAGTTTTCTGTGTCTGCTACATGTGCCAAAAGAAGTTCTGCTCCCCCAGAAATTTCTGTAAAACTTCTTTCAAGTCTTGCAGAGCAGGCAGTGGTAAGGTACAAAAGTACTTTACAAAAGTGCAAATGTTACTCCAAGCTACAATATATCACCTTTGAACCCTAAAAATGCAACAAACTAATGGCACCTTATCACTGCAAAACACACACTTTGCAGTTAAAAACTATGGTCCATGTGTTATTTCTGTACGGGGAGAGGTTACCTAGCAAAACAGCCTGCGATGACTATAGAGCTGAATTGTCCTGTATGTTGAAAGGGGGACACTGAACAGATAGATTAGCACACTTTTGCCTCCATATTCACTGAATCAGTTATGTTCAAAGCAGCTAGTCCTGATGCATGCTTACTAGGAGGAGTGTAATAGGAGGTACTTCCAAGTCAGCATCCACTCTCTTCTACCAGATATCAAGAGCTTCAACCAAGTAGGGTTGAAGTAGCTCATCTAAAGCAAAGGTGAGCAGAAGACTGACCAATTTCTAGTGGATTCCCTAAACTAACATCCAGACATGCTGGACTGCAACCCCCATAATTTCTTTTGGAATCCAAACTACTGACCATGCTATTTAGGAATGATGGGAGTTGCACTCCATCACATACAGAAGCCACCAGGTTTCTGGGAAAGGCTGTCCTGAGTAACAGCAGAGGGTTGCTGTGATTCTTGAACAAATACTTGAATTAAATGGACTTTGGTCGTGATAAGGCACTTCTTATTTCCATAAATATATTGCGCATGGTCAACATTTAATACAGAAAAAATATAGTTTAATTTTTCACAACTCCCGAGGAAAGCATTCGCTTAATCAATATAAAACAGCCGTAACTTATTTAAAACAAGCAATCTGCTCAAGAATGAGCTTAGCTCGCCAATGGTCTAATACAGCGAATCCTCAGCCGAGCCCTGCCAGCTGCCAAATGATCGCCGGGTGAGCGAGTCCTGCAAGGGGGTGTGACCAGCGTGACCGAGGCCGACGTTCAAGCCACTTCCAGGACAGCTAAGATCTGCCGCTTCCCTAAATTAGGTTTCCCTTATCCAGAGAGCAAAGAGCAACCCGACGGGGCGGTGGGGCGCTATGGGAGGGAGGGTGAAATGGAGAAAAGGGTCAGACCTCCCCTCTCGCTCGTCTGACAACCCCGAAACCCGCACGTGGAGACGAGTCTCTGAGGCGCTCCGTCTCCGTCGTGCAATCTCACCCCGAACCAGAGGCGCCGCCCTCCTTGGGACCCCCGAACTGCAGCCACAACCGCCATTCTGCCAGCCACCACCTGCCAAAGTGCACCCCTCCCTCTTCCAGCTCAACCACCCGTTCCCGCCCAGATATTGAGAACGGCCAATAACACCGCGAATTCCACCCCGTTCTCCGCCCAGGTTGCTTCCCATTATCCAATAGCATATTGAAAGCGCCCGGCTCGCCCCCACCTCGTGAGCACCAGGCCTCAATTGGGCACTTGGATGCAAACGCCCCCTCTAAACGGAGCCTGAGTGGATGGCTCCTGTTTTCTTTGCGCGACCTCTAGAGACGAGAAGCAGGAGGCGGCGGTAAGCCTGTTCGAAAAGGAACCGTCAAGGGTTAGGGCTCCCGCGTGAAGAGGGTGGGCTTAGCTGTCACGTGATGGGTTAAGATGGCGGTTTCTACGGAAGGTAAGCGATGCTGAGGAGAAGATTGTGTTTTCGTGCCTCAGGAGTTGGCGCGCTATGAGGCTGTCCTTCTCTGTCTACTTCTGAGTTAGCATGTATAAGAAGGGTGGTATAACGAGAAAGTTCTGTGCCCGCTTTTACGCAGGATTTTTCCCACTGGAGAGGTCAGTGGGACTTGCTTCTGACTGAACTCGTATAAAATAAGGTTGAAAGGCTGCTTGTTTGAAGGAAATTCTTTGAGTAGTTTCTCCGTGTTATTCAGATTCAGAAATGGCCGTTAGGATTTGAAGTCAGATCCCAGACTTTTCTTTGTGGCCTATAGAGAAGTCATAGAGTGATGGCAAAGTGTGCATGCTTTGTCTGCGAGTAGTCTCATTGGTCTCTCCAGCTGAGGCCTTGGGAAGTAATGGTGGGAATGATTTGGAGAACTATTGCCTTCAAGTGTACGGTTATCTAATAATCGTTGGCCTATTGTTTTATTATTTAAAATTAGATGCCTTTAACAAAAAAAGAAAAAAGAAAAAGCAAAGAATCTCCACCTGACTTACAGTAGAATTAAAATATGAAATTTAAAACAGCTGCCACAATGATTACAATATGGACAAAAATTAATGATAACCATAAATGATATGGCAGATAATGTTAAACAGGCCATCCAGTTCCTGGAAATAGGGAAATACCTGGCACAAAAAAGAGAACCAGGTTGGCACTAGGCAAACTTTACTGGAGAGAACAACTAGTAATCTGGAGCCTTTTCCCTTGTTGCCATCCTCTGAACTTCACCCAAAAGAGCGCCTCAGATGTTGATCATAGGGTACAGATAGGTTCATACAAGGGCAAGTGTTCTGTAGATACAGTGTCTCATGCTGTATAAGGTTTTATAGATCAAAGTCAGCACCATGAATTGGGCTTGGACATGTATAGGCAAGCAGACCAGAATCTGTGTTACCTTCTGGTCTGTTTAGCACAAGCTCTAAGTTTTTGAACTGTCTCAAAACAACTTCCTATGCTTACGTTCTCTCAGGAAAAAGGGTTGGGAAAAATCATTGTTGCCTGAAATCTTGAGGAACTGCAGCTAATTAGAATAGAGAACTCTGACCTAGACTGACCAATGAACCAGCTTCATCTGTTCCTTATGGTAAACAATGCATGTTTATTTGGAAGTAGTTCAACAAAATTCAGTAAGACTTGCACCCAAACAAATAGGCATAGGCAGACATACTATTTAGGTATGCAGGGCAAATTGTTCTTATATTTTAGACCATGTCTGAAGAGGATGCAGAATTCTTGTATTTTATTATTTTTATAGCATTTATAAATTATCAAATTGCTGAAACCCTTTGCTATCTCATTTATCTTTTTTAAATCTCTGATATCACTAACTTACATAATGACTCATTACATGAGTGAATATTGCGCTTCTACTTGAACTGGTGCTGTCCTACAGTTGTTGCCTCTATGTGATGACTGGATGCATAATATTGTTCTAGGCACAGATCTGGAGGCCTCATTACTGAGTTTTGAAAAATTGGACCGAGCATCACCAGACCTCTGGCCAGAGCAGTGTAAGTTGTAAATAAGAAATGTGAAAAGTTCTGTAAGTTACCATGGAGTACTGTAGCTCTGCAACCTTGGGTGATGATTACTGTTTTTGCAAAAAGATTAACAAGTAGGCTCCTTGTATGGTTGTTCTATATGATGTGTGGAAGGAGCCTTTATTGAGAGATGAGAGTGTATGAGATACCATTGACCTTTCTAAACTGGTCTCAGAATGGTGGTCAAATATGTATGTACTTATTTCTTCACATAACATGTCCAAATTTGTTGGTCAGCAAGCAAAGTCAATGTTGTATGTGTTAGGTACTCCAACATATTGTACTGTTTTCTATCATTTCATTGGGTTTGAGGGTATATAGTGGGTTTTAAACACACATTAGCAAGCTGCTATTATTATTTCATTGTAGTGTGATGTAGTACTAGCAGACTATGAGTGTAAAAGCTTACTTTAATTATTTCAGGTTAATTAATGAGGATTAAGGGGTGGATTTTGTGTTCATGCTCTTCAACTTTGATTTAAGCAATTTGAAATGGAAAGGGAATAGGTAGAAAATGTTCCTTGTTTTGTGAGTTTCTCTCACTTCCACTGATATATAAATATAACTTTCCATTATGAAGATGGAAGATGAGAAACTCGCACGAAACAATGTGGAAAAGAACAATCTTGATCTCATCTAGTTTTGAGATCCCCCCCAGATATTATATTTTTTTCACCCCCTTAGACATATTAGTGTAAAAATTTCAGCACCTTCCAGGAAAGAAGAAAAAAGATGTAGTTGAACTAGTCCAGTGGCTGAGCCTCTGCTCCCTAAATGCACATATATTTTCCTGTTGTCAGGCAAGCTCTGAAAAGTGCAGAGCTGGGGAAGGGGACACCACAGTTTGGCAGGTATTCAGCATAGTAAGATGGAACCAGGAAAAAGGGTGGAGTAGGCACCAATTGGCTAGTGATACATGAACCTTTGTTTATACACTTCTACCCCACCTCTGATTCTTTGAAGAGTTTTGCACCTATCTAAATATATTTCTGAGTAGAAGTTGAGGGTAAGGTGAAAGCAAACTTGCTAATGTGTAAACATACATGCCATTTAAAAATGCTGGCAGCTTTCTAAATGCTGTAGAGTAGAGCAATATCAAGACTTGATGTATCTTTTTTGCTATAGGAAGTAACTCATGGGTATATCTGTTTATAACTCAAATTACAAAGCTGGGTTTACACTGAGTAAAGCAATCACTTGTGACAACTCTTAGAAAAACAGAAATGGGTTTGTAATGGACTTTGTTCACTGCGACAATTTTCTAATGGGCTTTATCATACCTCTTAATGTGGAAAATGCCCCTACTTTGCTAGGATTTGGACATGCCCTTGGGTAGGCACACACTTGAGAGAGATTAACAGTATAAATCTGTGCATATTAACTGAGAAGTCCCATTGAGTTCAATGAGGCTTACTCCTAAGGCTGCAACTGTAAATATGTCTAAGCTTTCCCTATATATTTACTAGGTAAAAAGAGCACAATAATGAGAACCCAACAATGCTCTCCGATAATCAGTTGGAGATAATAAGATATACTAAACTACTGTAGAGTACACACAAATATTATACAAGTAAGATAATATCGGATTTGAAACTGTAGTAGAACTGAACATAAAGTAATATATGATAAAGATGAATAATCCTTTATGCTGAATTCCTTTAGCAGCTTAAGTGATAGATGAAAGAAATGATAATGACTTCTGAAGCTGTATAATGATGTGAAAGGAGAAGACAGTACTGCAGTAATTGTGTTCCCCTTGTCTTCAGTACCAGGTGTTGCTGAATTTGCAGCTTCTTTTAAAAGTGTAAGTAATTTCTAACTTGGGTTACAGTTCAATTCCATACATGTCTACTCAGAAGTAAGCCCCATTAAGTTCATTGGGACTTAAGGTAAGTGTGTATAGCATTGTTGCCATAGTTTCTTTATTTCATCAAGCTTTGCTTACTTTTGTTATTCCTTGATATCCTGTAAAACAAAATATTTAACTGTAGAATTAAATAAATTTGTTCACATAATAATTGTCTCTGAATAACTGGCTCATTGTGGATGGCATCTAGGCTGGCCTTTCCATGAATGGCCCTTCTGTTTCCTGAAAGCACAAGATCCAGCACAAATTTCCCACGGGGAGAAGGGTGGAGAGAGGTGATTTTGGCTGATCCCTCTGCAGCACCCCACTGACCCTTATGCTGCTTAGGATCTTCCCCAGTCCTCCACACCAACTTCTCAGGTGACTGCTGATGCAAAGTGCAATCCACAAAAATTGCCTTCCAGCCTTCTTCTAATGGTAGTATTGTCACTATACAAAGACAGGCTACTTAGTAAAGAGGGCTAAATAAAAACTATTCCTAAGCTAGGGTATCGTAGCATACTTTTCATTATACTAAACACAGAAACAGAGCGAGTGAGAAGGGGCCTTCCAGGCCATCTAGTCTGACCTCCGGCACCAGCCGGCTCCGCTCACCTTTAGGTACTCACTACTACTCACCCTTTAGGTAAGGTAAGGCAGCAGATAATCAAGATGCCACTGAAGGGTGGCAAATTGACAATTATTTTATATACACATTTAGCTTATCTTCCTCAGGCATGAAAATGTCTTGGGTCATTTTTGTAAAATCACATTCTGATTATGTATTATTTCAATTGAAGCTTGGTATTTGACATATTAAAAGGAGAAGGGGATGGCAGAGGTTGTGGTGGCTGGATGGGGTCACTGGAGAGGTGGGTGTGGGGTTGGGTGTACACTGGGGGATGGTGGAGGACAGGAGAATTTGGAGGAATGTTGTCCATGTGGTTGTGAAGAGTTGGGCATTATTTTGCAACTGAACAACAACAATAATTCAACATATTCAAGGACAAATTAAACACCGGTATCAAGCATACACTTTAAATTATTCTTTTAAAATCATGAGACATAATGAGTTCACTTTTCAGCTTCTCTTGTTTTGATTTTTGCGACAGTTTTGCCATTACATTTTTAATTTGCAGTCATGGGAATTTAAAACTGGAATTTGAATAGCAATCTGTAACCAGAGTATCAGAACTGCTGTGTATTCAGTTGTTAACAGTTATATTTCAGTTCTCCTGAAATTGCAAAACGAAATGATTTGAATTTTTTTCATATGTTTCAGATTTACTATTACATTAAAATGGTAACAGTAATTCTGTAGTGTAATGGAACAATATAGAACTGGTTTGGTGATATCACCTATATTTGTCTCATGATCAGACCTCCATGCTTGTGTGTTTTTACTGATATAATTTCATTTTTTTTAGCTTTTATGACTAAAAGCTGGAGTATTTTGGAAAAGCAATTCTTGGAAATATATATTATATTTATTTTGCTTTGCAACCCATAATTAGCTTTCAATGTAGCTTCCAGCAGTTAAAAATACAATGGAATAACAATTGCAATGAAAAAATGGTGTTGTGGAAGTGCAGTTCTAATCTGGTTCTGGATGGAGGTTTGTTGGAAGAATGTCTTGGTTTTAGTCTCTCTTTTTTGGCATTAGTAGTGCTACACAGTAAAATGACAAGTGAAAAAATGGGAGCAGGCATTCGAAGGTTAAGAACTAAGCATCACATAACCTGTTTGGGGGTACAGATATCAACTTCTGAATTTTCTGCACAATCTTGAAAGCTACCACTATTTGAGCTCCCTTGCACTTTTCATTGTAGTGCACTTTTCTGTGGATATAGAAAATATAAGTATCCAGAACTGGAGCTAGCTTGGGAAGTAAAATTACCTTAGCAAAATATCTTGGTTTTAAAATAAGATGCAGTCCAGTTATTCTGGTTTGTCAGTCATGGATATAGATAAAATGTAGCTGTTCTGTATCCAGTTGGAGCAGTGTTTTGCAATTCTGTATTTTTGACTGTTTCAGTTATGATAAACTGTTGTTTCTGATTATCAAAAAAGACGTAGATAATGACAATTTTTATTTGTGTGTGTATTTTTTTTAATAGCCCATCACTAGTTCTCCTCCCAAATGGATGGCTGAATTAGAAAATGATGATATTGATATGTTGAAAGGTGAGTGCTTGGTAACAGTTTCTCTTAAATGGTCTTAGAATGACCTGTACCGTTTAAATGTTACACAAATGCTAAAATGTTTTTATTTTTCTTGACGATATTAAGATTTTCTGCCTTTGAGAAATTGCACCCCAGATATATTCTTCCCTCAAGTGAGGGGTCTGACTTAACAGCTAAGACTGTTGGGAGACGTGCTGGCAGACAAATTCTGTGAAGCAAAGCCCCTCCAAGAGATTCCTGATATTCGTTGCTGACAACTTTCTCCAGCAGAAAGTAAAGAAGGTACAAGAGGATCTGCTATCCTTAATTTAATACTAAGAGGGATGGCCTGGGGGACAAAATAACAACCATGAGAACTCTTGGAGAAAGTGACCATGCAATACTTGAATTCTCAATTTTAAAAAAGACGAAGAGTAACTGGAACCAAACACACATGCTGGACTTCAAGAAAGTCAACTTTAATGAACTCAGAAAAATGATAAGTGAAATGCCATGGCAACACACCCTTAAGGGGAAAGAAGTCCAAGAGGGATGAGAAATCTTGAAAAAGAAGATTCTCCAAGCACAACTATGAACAATTCCATCAAGAAGAAAGTGTAGAAGACAGCAGAGGAAGCCTACCTGGCTCCACAAAAAGTTAAGTGACAGCCTGAAAGAAAAAAACATGTACAGGAAGTGAAAGCAGGGCCAGGTAATGAAGGAAGAATATAAACAAATAGGAAGGAATTGCAGGGACAGCATCAGGTAGGCCAAAGCAGTAAATGAACTGAGAATAGAAAGGGATGCTAAGAAAAACAAGCCTTCTTCAGATACATCAGAACAAAAGACATGAGAATGAGAAGGGTGTCCAGCTACTTAAAAGTGGATAGCAGAGTGATAACAGATGACAAGGAAAAGGCAGAGGGGCTCAATTCCTACTTTGCTTCAGTCTTCTCCCACAAGGAAAACTGCAATCAAGAGGAAGTACAAGCTAGAAGTGAGAGATGGCAGCCCAAGATTGACAGACAAATGGTCAGGGAATACCTAAATGGAATAAACACATTTAAATTTCCAGGGCCCGATGAACTCCATTCCAGTGTCATTAAAGAGCTAGTGGAGGAACTCTCTGAACCACTGGCTATTATCTTTGATAAATCTTGGAAAACAGGAGATGTGCCAGATGACTGGAGAAGGGCTAACATTGTCCCTATCTTCAAAAACGGGGTGGGGGGGAGATGAACCTGGGAACTACAGGCCAGTTAGTCTGACATCAATCCCTGGAAAAATTCTGGAGCAAATTATTTAAAAATCCGTTTATAAGGATCTTGAAGAAAAGGCAATGTTTAATTGATGCTAACATTGTTTTTTAAAATTAAATCCTATCAAGACTAAATTAATCTTATTTTTTGACTAGGTAACCTCCCAAATGGACAAAGGGAACACTGTGCACATAATCTACCTAGACTTTAGCAAAGCTTTTGACATAGTGCCACAGGACATTTGGATAAGCAAATAAACACTGAATTAGATAGAAAAACTATTAGATGGATCTAAAATTGGTTGCTAAATCAATGTCACCTTCTCAAATTGCATGGAGGTAACTAGTGTGGTGCCACAGGGTTCAGTCCTGGGTCCAGTGTTCTTGAACTTCTTTATTAATGATGTGGGTGAGGAATTACAAGGCAAGATAATTAAATTTATAGATGATACAAAACTGGGTGGAATAGCAAACATCCTAGAAGACAGAATAAAGATCCAGGGTGATCGTGATAAACTTGAACACTGAGCTCAAAACAACAGAATGAGATTCAAGAAGAACAAATGCCAAGTCCTCCACCTAGGAAAAAGAAACCAAATGCATCATTACAAGATGGGGAATACATGGCTCAACAGAACTGAAAAAGATAAACATCTTAGAGTAATTGTGGACAGTAGGTTAAATATGAGCTAACAATGTGATGCATCTGCCAAATGGGCAAATGCTATTTTGGAATGTGTTAATAGAAGTATTACTTCCAAATCACAAGAGGTAGTAGTTCCCCAATACTCCTCACTGCTGAGACCTCATCTGGAATACTGCACCCAGTTCTGGGCACCAAGATTTAAGAAAGATGCAGAAAAGTTAGAAAGGGTCCTGAGGAGGTCAGCAAAAATGATCCAGGGTTTGGAAACACTCCCCTTTGAGGAGAGACTGAGAGAATTGGGCATGTTCAGCCTTGAGAAGAGAAGACTTGGGGCGGGGGGCATGGTATCACTCTGTAAGTACCTCAAAAGCTGTCACAAGGAGGAAGGTCAAGATTTCTTTTTGCTGATGCCAGAGTGTAGGACATGGAATAATCAACTCAAGTTGCGACAACCCAGATTTAGGCTAGATATCAGTAAAAGCTTCCTCACTGTCAGAGGAATACAACAGTGGCACTGTCAGCTGCTTAGAGAGGTGGTAGGCTCTCCCTCACTAGAGACAGTCAAAAAGAAACTAGGCAGCCATCTGAGTGGGATGGTCTAAATTGGTGTCCTGCAACAGCAGGTGGTTGGACCCAATGGCCTTCATGGCCCCCTCCAACTCTACTATTCTATGATTCTATGAACTTGTGATGCTGTCCTAAATATTGAGCCTGAGCTCTTTGAAGATGAATGGGATTAAGATTTATTATTTATTTATTTAAAACACTTCTATGCTGCCCCATTCGCCGAAGCCTTGGGGTGGCTCACAACATAAAATTAAAATATAATACATTCAAAATATAAAACAAATTAACAATATAAAGTAAGTCGCCCTGGCCAGATAAAATAAGCAAATAATATTAACAATTAAAATGACTTTTAAATAAAAAGGTCTTTGCCTGGCGCCGAAAAGCAAATAACGACGGCGCCAGACGGACCTCTCTGGGGAGCGCATTCCATAGATTGGGCGCCACCACAGAGAAAGTCCTCCTCCAAGTACCTACCCTCCTAATTTCTTTCACGGAGGGTTCCCAGAGAAGGGCCTCTCCCGCAGATCTCAAGGGGCGGGTGGGCGTATATGGATGTATGCGCTTCTTCAGGTAACCAGGACCCAAGCCGTTCAGGGCTTTATAGGTCATCACCAACACCTTGAACTGGGCCCGGACTTCAATGGGAAGCCAGTGAAGCTGACGGAGGACTGGAGTCATGTGAACATAACGCCCAGTCCCTGTCAGCAGCCCGGCAGCTCTATTTTGAACCAGTTGAAGTATCCGGACCGTCTTCAAGGGTAGCCCCACGTAGAGCGCGTTACAGAAGTCAAGGCGGGAAGTCACCAGCGCATGTGTCACTGTCGCCAGGCAGTCGTACTTCAGGTAGGGGTGCAGCTGATGGATCAGCCAAAGCTGAAGGAAAGCGCTCCTCGCCACTGCTGTCACCTGAGCTTCCAATGAAAGCTCAGGGTCGAGGAGCACTCCCAGGCTGCAGACCTTGTCCCTAAGAGGGAGTGCAACCCCATTCAGAACTAAGTTCAGTTCACCCTTTCCGAAGCCCGATCCGCCAACCAACAGGACCTCCGTCTTGTCTGGGTTGAGCTTCAGTTTATTGGCCCTCATCCAGCCCATTACCTCGGCCAAGCACCGGTTCAGCACAGCCACTGCCTCACCTGGATTGGTGGAAAATGAGAGGTAGAGCTGGGTATCATCAGCGTACTGATGATTCCGCAGCCCACACCTCCTGATGACCTCTCCCAGCGGTTTCATGTAGATGTTAAACAGCAAAGGGGACAAAACGGACCCCTGCGGTACTCCATGTCATAGCTGCCATGGCGCAGAGCCATAGTCCCCCAGCACCACCTTCTGGAATCGGTCATTGAGAGGAGCGGAACCACTGCAAAGCAGTGCCTCCGACCCCCAATCCCGCTAGCCTATCCAGAAGGATACCATGGCCGATGGTATCGAAAGCCGCTGAGAGGTCCAGGAGAACCAACAGGGACGCACTCCCCCTGTCCTTCTCCCTGCACAGGTCATCGTATAGGGCGACCAAGGCAGATTCAGTACTGTACCCGGGTCTGAAGCCGGACTGAAATGGGTCCAGATAATCAGTTTCATCCAAGAGAGCTTGGCGTTGTCCCGCCACCACCCGCTCTAACACCTTGCCCAGAAACGGGATGTTGGCCACTGGTCTATAATTAGTGGCCATCTCTGGATCCAGTGACGCTTTCATCAGGACTGGTCGGACTACCGCCTCCTTTAAAGGGGCAGGCACCCGACCCTCCCTCAGAGAAGCGTTAACCACTTCCAAGATCCAGATCCCAATCCCGTGCTTGGAATTATTTATTAACCAAGATGGGCAAGGGTCCAATAGGCAAGTGGTGGACATACTCGTCCAAGCCCCTTGTCCACATCATCAGGCCGCAATAACTGAAATTCATCCATTAATTTTGGACCAGACGGCAGCATTGGTGTCTCCCCAGAAACCTCTGATTCACTAGTGGTGTCTAGCTCGTGACGAATCTGAGCGATTTTCTCCCTGAAATGCATGGCAAAGTCGTCACAGCGGGCCTTTGAGGGTGGAACCAGATCTTTCTTAGGACCTGGACGAACCAGGTCTTGCACCACTCGAAAAAGCTCTGCTGGACGGCATTTTGAGGAGGCAATGGAAATGGAAAAAAACTGATGCATGTATCAGACATACACAGATATGCAAACTGATGTTAGTGCCAACTTACACAAAATCACCAAATATCCTGGATAAACTGGACAAATTGTGTTAGATACAAAAAATGAACTTACACATTTCATGAAGCTGCCAAGAAATTAGAATGTCTGTCTTTGGGAAATATACTAATATAAAATTTGATCTTCTAATGGGCAAACTCATGAACCTATTTCTGTGTATAATCCATCTTTTCTTTCTACAGTTTCCTTCCTCAGCCTTGTGCCCTCCTGAACAATTTCTGTCAAGCCCAGTCAAGTGCTGCCAATGATCCGAGAATGACAAAAGATTAAGTTCAACAGATCTAGTGGGTGCCAGGTTGAGGAAGGGTGTTCCAAACAAATTTTTAGTTTATATCACTTTTTTGCCTGAAGTTGTAAAGAAGGAAATGTGCAGAATTTGACAGTTGTGCCTACTATAGTCTTATTGCAGTTTTCATGGTGGAGCAATTTCTGTCTGTGTAACTAGAAGTGTTACATCAATTGCTACAAATGTAATTTCTTCCCCTTTTCACTTTCAACATTTTAAATTAAGGTCTGTTGATATTCTAATTTCACAGCAATACACAGTGTGCATGTATATTTTTTTCTCTAGCTAGGTCTCTCTGCAACCATAAAATATTGCATTTGTGTTGGGTGACCTATAAGGAATTCTTACATTTTGTCAATTCTTGAATACTGGATTCAGTAAGAACTACAGAACATGTGCACAGGAAAACAAAGAACACCTTAAAGTTTTTGGCTTAGAAGGAAACTGGCTGAAATCCCTGCTTGGTTCAGCAATATGCAGTCACGGACCAAGATTTGTCCAGAGACTAGAGGCATGTAAGGGCAGTAGCTCATTCTGGCATGCTACACACTGACTGACATGAAGAGCATGGACTGGATATACCTTGTAATACCAGTATCCAGCCTTCCTATTTCCTGTACTATCTGACTTTTCCTGGTGAGAGAGTGACTGTATTTTGGGAAAGCCAGACTAGTCAACCTGGGTGCACAACTTCTGAGGTCTTATCTTTGTGGGTTGCAGTTGCCAGCACCAGGGAAGATAGAGGGAAGCATGATAAGTGGTACCCATTTATGTACAAATATTTTCACTTATGTCTTCAAAGAAATTTATTTATTTGGAACACTTCTATGCTGCCCCATTTGCAAACGCCTCGGGGTGGCTTCCAATACAAAAAAATTCTATTACATTAAAAATCTGGAGACATCCTGGGAAGATATAAAATCAATAAATAAATAAATTTAACAATTAAATAGCGTTTAAATAAAAAGGTCTTGGCCTAGCGCCGAAAAACAAATAACAAAATAGGGTACAAAATATTTTATCATGCAGCATGGGAAGTTGCTGCTCCAGTAATGTAAGTTCTGGGTCTAGCAGCATCTTGGGTCCTGGCTGTAATTTGTTGTTTTGTCCTTCCAGTTATTTTCCTCTTAAATAATTGTTTTGTTTTAAGGTACAGATTATATTCGCATTTTTGGGTAATCGCCAGGCTTGAAGATGGGGAGAGAATGTGCTTCATGCAAATTGTTGGTCAAAGACAGCTGAAAAGTGTCAAAATGAGAGTATTTATCCCACAGCCTTGTAAACTCTCAGTAGATTTCTGTATATAACATTGACTTCCTGAATGTCTGTTCATAAAGAACCGTTTTGAGAGCAGTGAGATTCTAGTTGGAAGTACACATTTCACTGGTATTCTTGGGTGTTACCATTTTAAATGTTATGCTTGCATTTTCTTCAGTGAAGTTGTCACGCTTCTCTGCTACTTTAGATCATATTATACTATGCTTGTACTCAATAACTATTACACTTCATTGATTGATATAAGATAAATTTTGTCTATATAATTTGTGATTAGTATTACTTAGTGATGCAAGCTAAGTCTAAAAATGCATGTATGCATCAATTCATACCCACTTAACCTGACCTGAGCTATTTTATATAAACCAAAGAGCTCTAATCCAAGAAGATACATTTGGATGATGATGTGCTAAATGCATTACAAGAAGTAACAATCCACATAGCAGAAAAGTGATGGTATTGCAGATGAGGATTGCTGATAAATATTTAAAGCCATGTATTTTTAAACTACACTCTATTAATTTTAGAACTGGGCAGTCTCACCACAGCTAATCTGATGGAAAAGGTGAGAGGTCTACAGAATCTTGCATATCAGTTGGGACTGGATGAATGTAAGTACTATATAGTCTGAAACAGATTTTGTTTAAGAGCTTTAATATTGCTAAATGTTACCATAGGACCTTTTCATGAAGCCTTTTCATGTTTAATTACATGATCAATATTGAATTAATTCTGTGGTTCTCACTGACATTTATAGGTTTTGGTGGATATCAGTCTTATGCCCAATTATTTTAATCTTAAAACAAAACAGTGTAAAATAAAACAAAACACTTCGGTAAGAGTAATATACATACCAACTTTTTAATGCAGTGATAGCTGACATATTAAAACACAAAGCCAAGCTACTTAAATACTGTAAAGAAATGGGTTGACAGGTAACTTTGTTTATTGACAACTAGTGATTGTATTTCTATATGATTAGAAAAGACTGCCTAACAACATTTCACATTTTACAAAGTACTTCGCGAACTTTTATGTAGTGGCATTAGTTTAGGACTCCATCCTAGCAAAAGTTCACAAAAGAGTAGTGTCGTGTCTGGGCCAGTTGGTTTTGGGATGTGATTGAGGGAAAGGGGATGCTACTAGGCAAGAAATGCAGGCAAGTGTGGGGTCAGTTGTTGGAAATAGTACTTGCATGAGTTACAGTGGAGCCAGGAAGAACTTTCCAGGTACTGGGAACCAGCATGAAGGCTCAGCTTCAAGAATTGTCAAGTCAGAGCTACAGAGCTGTCCTCTTCTAACCTTTCTTGAGGTAAAGGCTTCTTCAAGTTGAACCTGCAACAACATGTTGCAGTCCCTCAATCTCTGTGTTGTTCCTTGTTCTGTAATTTGTGGAAGTGCTGTTGTAGGTCTTTAAGTTGTTGTTTTTGAGAGGGCCAGGCTCTCCCTCTCTTGGAATTTGTCTCCATTTGAGCCCCCTGACTCTGTTTATCTGGTGCTGAGGATATGTCTGTGGTGGAGAAAGATACTATAACAAAAACTGTCTGCCAGTACATTATTTCTAACTGCAATACTGTATATATTTTTAGTATACTTAGTACCCTAAATAAATACATATTGGAAATAAAATAAACTAAGTGTGCATAGCCATAGTTTGTATTGTTGGCATAACTGAATTATACAGCTATGATTTTTTCCCAGAAAATATATGATTCTGTGTCACTGTGCTTTCTTAAACAGTACGGCAATCTGTTTTAGACTGCAGTCTAAAACAATGCAGTGTGGAGAAACTGTGTAGAAGTATATATTTGTGTACAACTGTTGTGTGCCTCATCCATTTCGATAGGATGCATGTCTCACCTCTGGCATGCAACTCACTAATGTGTTATTACAGAAGGAAACTGAAAATGTTTATAATTTATTTCCATACCATCCAATAGCAGATGCTCTGTGGTATCAGGCTCCGGGTCATAGTTGGCAGGGCACTGGGATACAAGCAACACAAGCAAGGTGTTATAAGTCTAGAGTCCAGTCACTAGTCCAGTAACAAAGTTGCAATTCCAAGCAGACCACCGTCAAAGCAGAGGTGGACTGTGGAGCAAAGTGTAATCCAATAGACAAGAGCATAGAAGAGGGCAGAGGCCAAGAAAACAGCACAACAAGGAACTGGTACTGACAGCAAGATAACAAAGAGGGGTCCAGGAGTAGCAAGGCCTGGCAGGCAAGGTCAGGAAGCAAGGTGAGGCAAAGCAGGAACAGGCGAAGATCCAAGAGGCAAGGTCTACAAGCAGGGCAGGGATTCGGACAGCAAGAGTCCAAGTAACAACCAGAAAGACTGTTTTTGCCAAGCCAAAGACTGGAGGGAAAAAGCCTGTTTTTGTAGTGCTCTTCCCTCAGGTCTCCCAGCGGGTACTTGTTCATTTCTGAGAGCTCCAGCAGAACCTGGCCCTAGTCCTGCAGTCAATTCTGCTGCTATTCTAGCTCTGGCAAGCAGATGGAGCTGTAGAGCAGTTCAGATGCTGACTTGTGGGTGGTTTACAAGATCATGTAAAACATAGTAAACTACAGTGCTTTTTTTTTTGTAAGAAAAAAGGTGCCGGAACTCATGAAATGATTTACCTTTCTCACATAGTCAATCACTGTACACACACTCACACACATCAGTTGTGTAACGAAACATAACAGTCACCACCTGCAGTAAGCACTCAACGTGCGACCACCTGACCAATCACAGGCTGAGCAGCGCCATCACAACCAGCGCGGATGAAGTATGCATGCATCGGACTCAACACACAAGCAGCCCGCATGCACCGTTTTAATGATTTTGCCGCCAACCTGCTACGCTTGACAGGGCGATTCAAATCCACATGGACCAAACATCAAATTTTCAAAAGTTACTTTTATAACTTGGAAAATCTGTCAAAAAAGGTGCCAGAACGCCGTTCTGTTGCGTTCTATGACAAAAAAAGCACTGGTAAAATATAATATAAAATAGAGTTAACAATAAAATACAATGTTACAGTACAAAATTAAAAGCCAAATTTAAAAGCCAGAATAGCTTCCACAAATGAAATCACAAGATCTATTAAGCAGCTGACATAATGTTCCCAGTATATACTCCCCTATTAAAGCCAGTCTGGTGTAGTGAATATAGTGTTGGACTAGGGCCCTGGGAGATCCACTTCTCCATGTTGCCACCAACTGAGCCTCCCTTGGAGGTGGCAGTCAGAGGAAGGTCTGAGATCTTGACTGCAATGTCTGGGTGGCTTGTGACTGGGAGAGGTATTCCATCAGCTATTGGGATGCAAGCTGTTTAGGACCTTGTAAGTTAAAACCAATAGCTTATACAGGGTCACTCTCCCTTGTCTCCTCACACAGGTTGTCATAATGGCAAATGAAGCTGTCTTCATGCCAAAAGAAATATAGATCAAGACTAGCTTAGGATGCTTAATATTTGAAAATGAAATGGGTTATTCAAGATTGAGGACTTTCTTACTTGTGCAGAATAAAGAAATAGAAAGAGTTGATAGAAACATAGCAACATCTAGTTCTGGTAGCCTCTAGATGGCAGCAGAAGGCTGCTTAGAACTATCTAGGCTGGGCTAAAGATGTGTGAGGAACCCAAGGGTGGGTGGGGGAATCCTATGGATCTTCATGATTCAATCACTTCTAGTCTGCTACCCTGTGCTGATGCCAACTTGCCTTCTGCAAATTGAATCAACTTGCCAAACTCCATTTCTAAGGCAGTCATGTTTTGATCAGGGGGCTGCACCTGATGGCCTTCTTGGCCTCTTCCAACTCCTGTATTCTATGATTTCTGTATTTTACAAATTGCTAGGGAAATGTGTCTAAAATCACCTGATTCATACAAATGGATGCCTGAAAAGCACCATTTGCACATAGTGCAAAGACTGTTTTTTCAGTTCAAATCTGCACAAACTGGCCAATTTTTACACACACTTGTGAATTTCATTTTAATGCCCAAATTGTGACCCATTTTAGTGCCAGAAGTCTACAAAAAGAAACCAATTTAACCCACTTCTGACCATCAGATCAAAAAAGGACAGAAATTCCATTAAGATCAAATGAGCTGGGATCTCCCTGTTTTGATGCATCTCTACTAGAAAACATATGTGTAGATCTTTAGATTTGGATGGAGTTCTTTGGTTTACCAATGTTCTCCCTGTGTTTTTATGCTACATGACTTTGTGGGAAATGATACAAAATACATTACCTTCATCTTGTAGACTGAATTAAGTTGGGATAAGTTGATCCAGTATTTTTTGTCTGTGCTTCCTAAAAGTGGCACACATTTGATATGTTCTTTCATAGACTCTCTATTAAGAATTATTATTTGAACCATTGTTTGAAGTTTTTAAGTATACTTATTGCACTTATTCTTTGTTTTCTCTTGAAATTAGATTTGTAGTGTTGGTGAAGGCTAGTTCTTCAAGTAGTTATAAGTTTCACTTGAAATATATCCTATCAATGTAAACTTCCATTTATTAATACTTCCTTTCACAGAGGTAACAATGGACTGGTTCTCATTATCACAGTAGCCCACCACAGCTTAAATAAGTAGTGGTTTGGTTGCAATACATACCAACAGCTGTTGTGAATATTCAAGCTGTGGTGGGTGGTTGCTGCAGCATACTATGGTGTCTAAACCTGGCCAGATTGAGTTGTTGCTATGTTTAACAAAACACAGACAAACAAAAACAGCCTATATTTGTGGCTGGTTTGTTAATCCCAGCAACAACTCATCCTTGCACATCTTTGAACATCAGAATATGCTATTGCAACTGCCCATAGCAGGTTGAATATTCACAGTGGCTACTGGCATGCACTGCAACCACTGTGGCTAAAATAAGTCACAATGGGCTATGACAATTGTACAGTTCAGGCCAGTTTGTTTCCTTTACTGCCCATTTAAAATATCCTGCTCATGATGCCTGACTGCTAATAGCAAGCCAGAGAAAATAATTTTACATTCCAGTCCTATATGTGTCTACTTGAAAGCAGGTCTTACTGAGCTCAGTGGGGTTTACTCCTAGGTATAGGGTATAGGATTGCAGCCTTAACCTGTAAGGTATCCCAAGGGTCATGGGATGGAACATAGCTTCCTCTTTGCCTGCAGAGAAGATCTCCCCTCACAAGTGTCCTTCTTGCAGACACAACCCTCCAGCACTGCCCTTGCACCTCTACCAGAAATGTGCTGATAGTGATGTCAGCAAAAAGTGGATGCAGTGGATGAGAATCGGTCCTGTTTTTGTAACAATTATTGGAACGGGGAACGAAGCATGGCAGCCCTGGATCTGACGTACTCATTTCTCCTCCAGTTCCCTCCCACCCCCTGTTCTAACTTGCCAGTGTGAGCCTGGCAGGACTATAGGCAGCCCTTCCTCCACCTCGGTTCCTTTGCCTTCTCTCTCTTTGAAGTGTTCTACCTGTTAGCACTTTAGTTCATATCTTATTAAGGTATTCTCATGTCCAAGATCATTTTCTTTCTTTTTTAAAGGAACTCAAAGCAGCTTACAGCATTCCTCCCCACCTGCTCTCAGTCTTATCCCCACAGCAACAACTCTGTGAGGTAGGTTGGGCTGAGAGTCTG